AACTTGAAGAACGTTCAAACATATATGGAAGTTTTCCAGCTTGAACTATAACTAGTAAGACTCGTCAATAATACTTTCTCGGTTGATCACTATCAATATATCATACTGGCTCTTTATCAGTTGTAGGGATTTCTTCTCCCACAAGACCACTCCGAAAGTATATCCCGCTCCCGTCCAATGCCACATAACTACACAATGCTGGCCAAAGTCCATGTTGCCAGCAATTTTACGTCTTGATTGAAGGCCCAGAGACAGAAAACATGGCTTAAGTACCTGCATCCTACTTTCAAGAGTGTCTCAACAAGAAACAGAGTTTCAAATGACCGACCGTCGAGTTTCTAGCATATTTTCATTTATCTGAGCCGTAAAATATCTGACCAGCGATAGCATCCAACACCCCTCAAAGCTGCGCAACCTCCACCCTCCGCCCAATCTCATCGAACCGAATCTGCTTACCCGTCACCAACGCCTCCTGCAGATACGCCCCGATCTCGACAGCCTTAACAGCATTCCCCAGCCTCACCGGCAGGGGCGTCCCCTCCAAACACGCCGCCGTGAACTCATTCGCCTCGCGCACGAACGCCTCGCCGAAACGGCCAACGAAATTGGGGGGCACCTCGCGCGTGATGCCGCCGGAGTGGTAGTAGTTCACAAAGTCCCGCTGCGGGTTGATGTTGACGGACAGCTTGCCCTCGGTGCCGATGACCTCGGTGGTGTCCTCCTGGCCGTGCGGCATCATGCGCGAGCAGTAGTAGTAGGCGATCTTGCCGCCCCAGAACTCAACGATGCCGACGGCGTTGTCGTAGTCGTTGTACTGTTTCAGCTCCGGCTGCACGGCCGTGACCCCGTGCGCCGAGATGCTCTTCGGGATCGAGTCCTCCCCCAAAAACCACAGGGTCAGGTCGATGTCGTGCACGGACATGTCCACGAACACCCCGCCGGACCAGGCGGCGTAGGCGACGTAGAACCCGGACGGGTCGTACTTGTCGCACGTCTGGCTGCGCAGGATCGACGGCCGCCCGATCAGCCCCTGTGTGATCTTGGAGTGCACTTCGCGGTAGGAGGTGTCGAAGCGGCGCGAGAAGCCGCACATGACTTTGAGGTGCGGCTTGGTTTTGGCTTTTTGGACGACGGCTTTGCACTGTTTTGTTCGGAGGTGGTTAGTTGGTGGTGGAAGAGGAGAGGGAGGGTGGCTAGGGCAAGAACATACTACTTCAACGCTCGTCGAGAGAGGCTTCTCACACAGAACGTGCAGGTCACGGTCAATCGCTTTCATGGTCTCCTCGGCGTGCACGGAGGTGGCCGTGCCGATGACCACGGCCTGTAGGCCCGCATGCTCGAGCATCTTGTCGTAGTCATCATACAATGTGACGCCGTAGGGCTCGAGGTGCTGTCTGCCCCAGGTGATCTCCGCAGGATCCGGCGAGAAGGCGGCTACCAGGTCCGCGCGGGGGGTCTGGTGCAGGAAGTTGTTTACGTGGATCTTGCCTACGCGGCCGAGGCCGGCCATGCCGACTTTGAGCTTTTGAATGGGCATGATTGTTGTATGTGGTGTGATGTGGAAGAGCAAAAGAAGAAGAGAAAGAGAGAGCGAGCTGTAGGTGATTAGGTGTTGTTGGATTGAGCTTGCTGCTATGCTGATGTCTGTCGTGAGGGTGTCTAGGTATTTATGTATGTTGACACAAACGATTTCCCCTCTCTGGAACGTCGCTGGCAGACCCACCGCCCCAAAGGGAAAAGTTCCTCCATCTGTATATCGTAGTCAAAAAGCAGATGTAGTTTCATGTCGAGTTGAGAATATCGGAGAACTTGTCGAGAAATGCGGAGAGAGAGGGTCCACTGCTGCAAGAATGCGGAGTAAAAGACGGGCCAAGTTGCCTGCCGAGACGGAAAGACTTGCCCGTCTCTACAGGTTCTCCGACTGACATCTGTGATTGGTCAAATGGGCTGCCTGCGACCGTGAGGGCAAGTCTTTCCTCAGTCACGTTATCTTGTGTATAGTACAGAGATTCGAGTGATCGGAAATTGATCTGCAAGGTTTCGAGAGCAGTTTATTACCATCTTGAGACGTTAGATCTGGAAAAATGCGGGGTAACATTATCCGTAGGAAGAGACTTGTACCATGATGGAGTTTCCCATGGAGGTAGTTTTGTCTTCGAAACAGAGGAGCCATGTTAAGTTGCGTCTACATCTTGAGCAAGCTCATGTCTCTACACTTTCCCGTTTCTGAAGAATTCTTGATCGTGTTATCGATTTCATTCTTTGGGACATATGACTACCGCGGAGCCTGCCATCGCTTATTTAATCACTTGACTTGTGCAGATTGGTATTTATGGGCAATCCAACTCCATCTCATAGCCTTAACTACCAAGCCATGCCCTATTTTTTATTCGGATTCTCGAAGTGGCGCTTAAGTGGCTGCCAGCTGTGCTCATTGTATTCCTCCTGCACCTTCTGACAAGTCTTCAGCCCCCACTCGGAGACACCCACCATCAGACAGCTGCACCCATCGAATTAGCACTCAGTCCACAAAGAGAGACACGGGAAAGACTGACCTCTCAAACATGAACGCCATACTTCCATCACCAACCTTTGTTGGCTTGAGCTCCGCATTACTCGCGCCCTCGAAGGCATCTGCATCCGGCCCGTGCGCACTCATCACATTGTGCAAGCTAGCCCCCGCAGGCTGGAACCCACCTCCCGTCTTGGCATCGTAGTTCCCCGTGATCAACCCCATAAATTCGGACATGGTGTTGCGGTGGTACCAGGGCGGGCGGAAGGTATTCTCTTGCACCAGCCAGCGGGGCGGGAAGATGACAAAGTCGGCGATGGCGGTGCCCGCGTGGTCCGATGGGCCGGTCAGAACGGTGAAGATGGACGGGTCCGGGTGGTCGAATGAGATGGAACCGATCGTGTTGAAGCGCCCGAGGTCGTACTTGTAGGGGTAGTAGTTACCGTGCCAGGCGACGATGTCGAAGGGGGTGTGCTGCTGCCGGGCGGAGTAGAGCTTGTTGGCAAACTTGCTGTACAACCGGTACTCGGAGGGTTCCTCTTCGTCGTCGAAGGCCGCTACGGGCGCCTGGAAGTCGCGGGCATTGGCGAGACAGTTGGAGCCGATCGGGCCGAGCTCGGGGAGCTGGTAGTGGCCTTGGTAGAGCTCGCAGATGTATCCTCGCACTGGACCGGCGGGGAGAGTAACGCGATATCTATCCAAGTCTTTGTCAGATACTCACTTGATGGCCAAGGATGATAGGGGAAGGCTTCATACCGCACGCCCCGGGGAATCACGCAAATCTCGTTCGGACGGACCACCAGTCGCCCCAATTCAGTCTGAATGTCCAGCACGCCGTGCTGAGGCACGATCAGAAAGTCGCCGTCAGCCGAGTAGAAAGCTTCCTTCCCCATATCCTTGCCCGCCGCATAAAGGATGATCCCCAGACCATGTTTCAAGGTGGGGTCACCAGCTCCAGCAACAAGGTGCAGACCGTGGACCCAATCGACAGTCTCATCTAGATCGAAAGGATCCCATCGCAGTTGGTTAGGAATGTGGTGGAGCTGGTGTGTTTCAGTGGTCATGCGAGTGTGATAAGAATCCTCTTCCTCGGCGACAAAATTCTGGTGGGCAGCTGCGGGGAGAATGCGATAGACCCATGTTTGTCGGTTCTCGTGTCTGGGGGCGGTGAAAGCTGTACCGGACAGCTTCTCTGCGTACAAGCCATAGGGGGCTTTCTGAGGGGAATTTTGCCCTACTGGAAGAGCGCCTTCGACAGCTTCGGTCCTATGAGAGGAGAGTCGTCAGTCAGTCCGCCAGATAGCCGGGTAAAAAGACCGTACTCATGGTAAGAGTCGAAGCCCGTCTGGTAGGAATACGGATCGGGATGGGAGAACTTTGTCACTGGCATATTGTTGAGTGATTTGAAAGTAGGATACGTTATGAGGATGTGATCGAGGGGTGATATAGAGATTATACAGAAAGGCAAAGTTCAGACATCAGAGATCAAAGATAAAACATGCGCAGCAATGCTGAGGATTAATGGTTAAAAAGAGCTGCCCCTCCAGCTCACATGCCGGATGATATAATGGTGGAACGCGACAATCGCGGGACTGCGGAGTCGCTTTGCGGGGGAAACTCGCGGAATTGCTGTTGGCGGGGAAGACCCAGTGCGGCCACATTCCGTTGACTGCGAAGTGCATGAAAGAGTGTGAGATGACAATCCCAGCAAATGCTTCTCAAATCCCAATGAGAAGCATCAGCCTCCGGGGATGGCCTTATGCTCAGAATACTTCATAGTTCTAAACATCGCAGAGTCATCACTTTAGAGGGTGGCCTGCTGAACTGAAGCTTCCCGGACGGAAGTGTTCCGCGGTCTCTTTCTCCCAACCGACAACCGTCCTTTTCCGCGGATTGCCGCATGTTTCCAGAACAGGCGCATTGTAAAAGATTGCCGAGCGACGCATTGAGCTCGCGCGCAGCAGGATGGTCAACTGAACACCTTACAGCTTATATGAATGGCAAAGATGATAACGAAAGTACACCCTCAAACATAAAAGTCAAAGTCAAACAGAAATGTCGTCCCTGAATCCTTGCGTCTTAGCCGAACCAACTCTGCGGTTCTATGTATCGAACCCCAAACACACGGCTCCAGAAACACCTAAAAGCAGCTCTCGCCCCGATAGCCGTGCCCAGACACCGGCTGGCCAATTGAGCAGATATACGAATTGTCCTTCAGCCTGAACGATACAACCGTGGTCATGTTTCTACGCCCTGAGAACCAGCAATACGTAGTCGGATCGCGCATGATATATGAGATTGTGAACAGGCAGTCCGTGGTTCTATCGCAACGTAAGGGAACAGTCATCCCGGAGAAGGTAACCGGGCTTTGTAGTACCTGCGATCATTGTATCCAAGTTACTCTCAAATCTACCCCTAACGCCCAATCTAGACAGAGAACTATTTTTCTGCACTGTCGCGACCGCGCTCTACAATCCTGTAGGCAACAATGGAATCCGTACCTAACTCCTCACTCGGGGTCTCATCGTCACGGCTTGCACTCATCGACCGATTCCCACCAACCACTTACAAAGGCGTGAAAGACCTGAACAAGCTCATCGTGGCTCGACGCGACCAGCTGTATGAGGAAGTCGAAAGCGCCAGTCAATACCTCTCGTTCAAGGATGTGTCACCCCAACAATTCAACCATATTGTGGAACGGGAGGAAGGACCGAGCAGTCACGTTCGCCTGTATTATTTCCTCGATATCGAAACCTTGATCGTCAGAATCCCCGCACGAGAGACTGAAACGGCTCATCTCAGCTTCAGTAACATGGTCGTATGTGCCTCGTACAAGATGGGCCTGGGTCGCAGAGAGTCCTGCCCCCTTGGTGCCACAGCATTCTGGAGGCCTACGGGTGAGGCCGACTCTTCATTCACGAACTTACGCAGTCGACCATCACGCCAATGGCCAATCTAGGTTAGTGAAGCGGCAGTACGATCCTCGGACTCGATGCTGCGACTCCGAGCCGCTGCCGCGTAGTGGGCTGCCCACTCTGCTGGCGAAGTGAAGCTTTTTCTTCTCATTGAGGTCAACCGGGAGACCAAGGAGGTCATAGTCGAGCAGCATGTGCCCATGCGGTGGGACTACCATAACACGCGTTTGCACTCGCGCAGTGGTGCTGGCCCAGTGTGGAATGCCAGCAGAGTGTCGACAGTTACGATCCGGACTCAAGGAATTGACTCTCCCACAATACAAGGAAGACCACCTGTTCTGGAGTGTGAAAGTGTTTTTGGAAGGGCACCAAATCCGCCGCTCGAAAAGGACATCGTGCTATCAGAGAAAGAAGTCTTGGAATGGGCGGCGCTCTTCCGCGACTGAACAAGAGCATGATATCACGACTGATGATATTGAAGTTTGCGAAACAGCATTGATCACTTCTCCAGGGATACTCTGTGGATTCGGGTGGGATTCCGAGATGTGATTTGAACTTGTTTTTTAAGCTCGTTCGGGCCTTTAGGGTGTCGGGATAGTTTTAGAGAAGTGCGAAGATAGCGAGTCGCATGAAGCTCTAGGCGGAATGAAAAGAGCAAAATTGAACCATATGCAATAGTTGTGGAATTAATGCTTTTCCAATACACTATAGCGTCCGTCTCTTGTAATGCATAAAGCAAAAGTGGCTTTTGACCGCCCTATAGACCGCCTGACCGGGCAGAACGCTCGCGACCTCGCAACGAAAAGCACGGACTTAAGCGGATTTAAGAAGTAACAGTCTAGAAAAATCGGCTTGCGAAACTGTTCACTTTTGGGCGGTGGCGGAATAGGACCCTCCGCAGTTTAGTTTCTGACCGCCACTCAGACCGCCTGATCCGGCAGAATGCATTGGACCTCGCGACGAAAACCACGGAATTAAGAGGATTTAAGAAGTAACAGTCCAGAAGAATCGGCTCCCGAAACTGTTCATTCTGGGCGGTGGCAGAAAAGGACTCCTGCCCGCGCCTGCGCATGGCGGTAGAAACTCATAAGTTAATGGCAATGACAAGGCATCCATAGATAAGGAGTGTATCAAATTAGGGGAGTAGTTTCACCTGAGTTGTATCTTGGTCAATGATTCTCTTTGCTACTAGCATCATTCTTATATCTCTGATCTATCACCTCCGAAGGTAGGAAGCAATGGCTGTTACAGGCCGATCACATGCGCGTGCCTGGATTAGATCGATCTACTGATCTTCCGCGTCGGCGCATCCGCTTCCTTCCAACTCTCCGCGGTGACTGCCACCCCCGGCCTCACTTGTCGCACATTCTGGGGGTTGCAGGCTCTGCACAACTCTTCTTCCCCCAAGGACTATGAAGATGACTTTGGGTTCTTGGTTACGAAGGCGTCCTAGGTTGCTTTGGGACTTCTCCGCTTCGAACTCCGTTGGCTAGTAACACCTCCTGGTCTTCCAGTCTTGGTGAATTCACTAATCTGTGTTAATTGTAAGTGAGAGATTCTCAGCTCAAGGTACACGTTTACTGACCTGCTCACCTCATTACTACCAGATTTGTGCCTTTCTCCTTCAAAACCTCTACCTGACGCTTAACACTACACCCTGACTTTCATAACCACACTTTCCTACCTTACCAACCTTCCATTACCAGCTACCATTCCGCCTCTCGCTACACAACTCCGTCAACACAAGCAAGCGCAACGTACTCACGATGACGATGTCTGTCTCCTCTACTCCAAAAACCAAACGCGTCGAATTCGCCGAACCTCTCACCTCCTCTCCCCACCGATCCTACACCAACGCGACCACCAGCAATAATGTGACCGAAGGGACCCCCCACCCTGACACAAAGGACAGTGCAATAGTTAAGGACATGGCCTATTGTGCGTCTGACCTTCTCTACGCTCTTCACGAAAAAACCGTGGATGACATCCTTTCCGATGAAGTCGGCCAACATTCCTCGCGGTTCGACGACTACAGTCAAACTTCCGTCCACAATCATACCCCGGACTACAGTCGTAGCCCCGACTGGTCGCATGCGACGCAGCGACAGTCGCCGACAACGCGGCAGCTTAGCTCACCAAACTGGGCGCTCGGCAAGGGGATCATACCTTATCACGGGCCAGACTCTGATTCGGGAGATGACTGCACGTCCGAGTCAGGATCTGCGGTGAGCTCTGAACTTGGGTTCGGGTCTGTAGCACAATCTCGACCCGAATCGAAATCTAAATCAAGTGCGGAGCTCCATAATTCCGAGCAGCACCCCCTACACGCCGATATCGAATCCATAGACCTTCTAAAGTCACCTTCACCGTCAGTTTCACCGGAGCCCGGGTCCTACTCTACTGCGCGCGAGCACACGGGGAGCCAAGATGCGTATGACGATACTAGCGAGTTCGAATTCGACTCTGAGTGGGAGGAAGATTACGACCAGTTTCCATCCGTGAGCCGGCCGCAGGTGAGGGAGCTTGGTTTCGCACTGTGTACGAGCGACTTCATGCGCAAAGGCATTTATCCAGTGAGGAGATCGGAGAAACGCGCATTCGTCGATTATGCCTCGCAGAAGGCGGTGGAAATCGGGATGACGGAGGATGAATTTGAACGGATGATGAGGGCTTTAAGAGGGGTCTATCTGCTTCAGTGGGGTGAGAACAAGGGTAATGACTCAAAGGTGAACCCGGAATCAGGATCCAAGCCAGACTCTGATCGTGGACCAGAGAGAGGTTCGGTCAGCCCAAAGCACCCATCAGCTGTGACGAGCGAGAACCAGCAAGCGGCATCGGGACGTAAGTCTGTTGAGTCACTCCCAGATGCCAATCTCGCAGATGACCAGGGAGAGGACGTGATTGCTGGGACCAAACAGGACGAACCGAAACCAAAAGACATGGAAGCGTCAGTGTCTGAATCACTTCAGAGGTTGGACTTTGCATCAGCAGATGAGTCAGGGAAAGGCTCCGCGACGTCGCTTGATAAAGCAGGCCCTGCATCGCCCAATGGGAAGATTATGGCAACACCAATTGATGTTGACCTAGCAGTAGCATCCCCGGCCACAAGCAAGTCTCCCAAGATGGGCACCGAACAGATCGACCAGAAAGAACAGCCGAGCGGTAAGGGCCTTGAAGAGAAATCAACAAAGAAGTTGAAGATGCCTGTCGATGACTCATCTTATGGTGGAAGGAAACGGAAGCAAGGCGAGAGCCATCTGCCTTCCAAGGACCAGCCAGGCAATGCAAGTCATTCCGAGAAGTCTAAAAGAAGGAAGAAAACACGCTCCTCGTCTGAAGGTCATACCTCTTTGGATCGAGCTTCAACGCCATCCGTGCAGCTGGATAGAGATGTGCAACCTCAGAAGAAGCAGTTGGAGAAGGCGGCAAAGGAGAAGGTAACGAGCTCAGGAAAGACAAAATCTCTGCAGAGCAAGAAGGCCTACAAACTTGCAGATGATGGCATCGAATGTGTCGGACAGTTGACCGCCGAGCCACAGCGAAGTCCCAGAATGGTTGGTACGACCCAACAGCTCAAGAAAACCATCATTCCTGCCAATTCATGGGAATCGAAGAACGCCAGCGAGAGTGTCATACCCGAAAAGTCTACAAATCAGCAGCCAATCCAGATTGCCAGATCCTCGAACTCGAACCAGTCCAGCGGCACCCACAAGGCCGGAGGTTCAAAAGTCACTGCAAGACCTGCGCAAGCAAGGGAATCTGAGAAACGCGGCAACCTTAAGAAGGTCGGCTTAACAAAGGGACATTCGAACAACCATGATACCGCCGAGCTTATTGATTTGACGAAGCCCGAGAAAGGTAAACATGCCAACAAGGCAAAAGATCCCAATTTTCACAAGCCTGGAACGCCCGCGATGACCAAAGGGTCTGACCTAGCCGAACTTAAAGGGCAAATCTCGGATATTCAAGCTCAGATCCGGCATCAAGGCTTGCTCAAAGCGAAGCAGGCGGAAACAAGACGGGCGAACCCGAACAAATCAGCGAAAGGCCGACCAGCCAAGAAGTCTACTCGTGCAGAACATTCGGATTTTTCGACACCGATGAATCGCAAAGTCCAACCACCAGCGATGAGGTACGGTCCATATTCTTCAGTGTAGGGCAACCAGCCACCATGACTGGCTCAATCCGTGGTTCTACCGCTGCTCTACCTTCTGACCTAATTTTGTCTGATTGCTCCGAGCTGAGCGATGCTCCGAGTGACCTCCCTGACTCGTATCCTTCAACACCGCCGCCTGCGTCATCCTCAATTGCGCTAGTAACGAATGTATCTGCTTTCTCTGAGCCCGAAACCTCAGTCGATGCGACCATGAATAATGATAATGGACCAACCCTTACCTCCCAACCACCACGATTATCTCAAGCACCAAGAATATCTCGCTTCTTTCCCCAACCTTTGATTGATCCGTCCTCCTGTCTCCCATTTCAGCCTATCTCCGCCCCGACATTCGGTCTGGTCCAGGAACAGCTCGCTCACGATCCCTTTCGCCTCCTCATCGCTACCATATTTCTTAATCGTACCCGCGGTCATGTCGCCCTCCCCGTCCTCTTCCGCGTTTTTGACATATACCCCTCCATCTCGGCCTTTGCGACTGCAGACCCGACCGAGCTGACAGAGCTAATCCGTTGTCTCGGCTTCCAACACCAACGCGCTAAGAAATGTATTGCCCTCGCACAGACTTGGCTTGCTCGGCCTCCTGCCCGTGGTAGTCGGTACCGTAGACTCCACTACCCGAACCTGAACGACGGTCGTAACGTCCGCCGCGATGAGTGTTTAGGTGATGAGGATGAACGTGTGGGGTGGGAAATCGCGCATCTTCCTGGTGTAGGTGCTTATTCCTTGGATAGTTGGAGGATCTTTTGTCGAGATGAATTGAGGGGCGTTGGTAGAGCGATGACAACGACTGGATCAAGTACTGTTGCTGAAGGTGCGGACCCAAATGGGAATGTTAGTGTGGGAAGTGGAAACGCAGCAGGTGATACTGCGGAGGAGGTAGAGTTTATGCCCGAGTGGAAGAAGGTGTTGCCTCAAGATAAAGAGCTACGAGCCTACCTAACTTGGATGTGGTTGAAGGAAGGGTATGTCTGGGACTGGCTTACAGGGGAGAGAACGGTGGCCGGGGAGAAGGTGATGAGAGCTGCCAAGAAAGGTGGAATTGCGAGGGAAGTGGGAGATGGGAACTGGATGCTGGAGACATCGCCGGTCAAGAAGGCTATGAATGGGTTTACCATGGGTGGTTAGATGTCTCTTAGTAGCATCGGTGTATGCTCTTTCACACTACCTCTTCAGGTCTAAGGTTTAGGTAATGGAAACTGGCCTGCGTTCCTTCTGTTGAATGCATGCGAGTAAGAGCCCTGTAAGCTGTCGAACATGGTCTGGTCTGGTCTGACGAGAAGAATTGCCCGTCCACCTGAGCTTGAAAGGACGTCAACTCTGGATACCTTTTCTGGTCAATTGTTCCATACACCTCAGCTGACTTGAGGCATAATAGACCTGTCCTGTAAGTTTTCACAAGTGTCAGCCCCCAATGCTTTATGCGTCCCAGCTATCATGAACAGTCAAGTAACAATGGCTTTGTCGTAGCATCGACACCATGAACTCCAACAAAGACATTCACACCATCGCAGCACAAACAAAGAACCCCAGCCTGCCTATAAAACCGACCTACAGCCCTCCCCCCCCCCCCCCCACTATAGCTGCTCCAGCACAACAACAGCTAGCATCAAAACCGACCTCCCTACAACAATCCAACCCCCAATCAACCAAACCAAACCGAAAGAAGAGGTACATCCATATTCCCAAAATGACTCTCACCACCCAGCCCATCCGCTCCTCCCAGCGCTCCCGCTACTTCACGGTGCCTCGCCTGGCACAGTACCCCATCACGCGAGCCAACATGGCGGCGCGGAAAAGACGAGCCGCTGATTTGAAGCAGATGGCGGTGTTCCAGGCTGGCGTCTATGTGGTGACCGCACACGGGGATGTGGCGATGATGGATGCTCCCTGGCTTGTCGAGACGCCCGAGATGGATACGGATATGGATATGGTCGATATGGTGGGTGCTTAGTGGTGGGGTTCGTTGACTAGTTTGTTTTCTTGTAGCTTTTCTGTCACTGCGGAACTCCCTTTGCGTATAATAATCATGTTATATATGGTGGGAAGGTGGTGGGAAAAGTTGGTAGATAAAATTGAATTTATTTCCAGATATATGTTGTCTTTGGGGCTTGTTTGTTTGTTGGTTGTATGGAAGATTGGTGATGGCTTTTCTAGATATATATACCCGTCGGATTAATGTTGTAGGTTTTGCGGGGGCGATCCATTTCAGGGAACGGCGTAAGGAGGAGCACAACCTGGAAGCTACATACATGCACGGTCTATTTCAGGCAAGCTGCGACCCACGCCCCAAGAACTTAAGAATAACATCCAACCCCTCCGGCTCTTTGATCCAATGGCCATCCCCCTCTGCCCCAGCATACTCCATCCACTCCACCTCCCCCGCGACAAGCCCCTTGACAGCCTGCAACGCCTGCCTCCCCAGCTCCACCGGCACCCAGACATCATCTGTGCCGTGTCCTAGTAGAAACCGCGTACTTAAAAGAGGCAACGACGTACCGTGACTTTCTACCTCCCCATAAGGCTGCGAAAACCCAAGCGTCTCGACACAGAACCCGCAAACCAACCGCTGAACCCGGAGTGTATCATCTCCAGCCGCCTGCTGAAGCAACCCCTCAATCTCCCGCGCAAAGGGCACCCACCCACAGAACCCGAGAACTCCACCAAGACACCGCCCAATCCTTCCCCCCGCGCAGAACAAAGTCCAGAGAGCCGTCGCCATACCCTGGCTGATGCCCCCAAGATAGACATGGCTTGCTTCTCCACCCAGTAGGCTGATTTCCTGGTCTAGGATCTCCAGGATATAAGAGACAGACTCCCTGAGCCCCTCGACCTGCAGGTCCTGGCGTTCTTGGATGTCGAAAAGGGAATAGGCGTCGAACCAGGAGCAGATCTCCTCCTGGAAGCGCGTGGTGAGGCGGTCGCGCGAGGTGGGGAATACCCAGCGCCAGGTAGGGAGGGCATCGGGAAGGGACTTGCTGTGCGAGGTCAGAGATGAGAAAAGCTCGTCTGCAAATTCGGGGCCGTTGCTTCCGCGGCCGTGGAGGAGGATGGCTGTGTGCGTGTGCTTGTGCGTGGTTTGGGGCGGGTGGATGTGGGGGGTGGGGAAGGCCATGGTTGATGGTTTCATGTGCGGGGATTTGGGGTTGGGGTTGGAAAGCTTGGACTCTTGGTGAGGTGATGGGGATGGTAGGTCTTGGGAATGACGGGATTGAGGTGGTTTGAAGGGGAGGCAATGAGGAGAAGGCTTTTTTCCTTGATCGCATGAGCTGTCGCGGTCTTGAGCGCCTGTGAATGTGAAGTTCTAAGCGCTGGCGGTAAGCTGGTAGGTGCCTGAGGCAGCATGTATAGCCCATTGCGAGAACCTGATGCAAAACTACACAAGTTGGTGACTAGATTCTGCTTTGCTGCTCAAGGGATCTATGTCATTGTAGCCAGTCATTCTGCAGCAAGCCACTCCATTTAGTCAAAGGAAAGCCTCAGTCATACGGCTGCCTGGTGTGTGTACTGTGGCTTTGCGTTGGCCAGGAGGCATCAGAATTGCACCTGTTTGTTTGGAAAAATGTCAAAAATGCGGAATTAATCGCAGCTTGGCAAATGTGATAAAGGATCCGCAATTGGGGCAATCCTAGGACAGAAGCTTGACATGTGTGACCAATGATGCGCATTCGATAAGCTGACCAGGGTTCAGGGGCTCCGACGGAAGAGCCCTATACCTTGACTGCTTAGGTAGCTTTCTCGTTTTCCCCAATGACTGCCATGCCTTGCTACCAGATTCTCCAGTGCTCATTCCAAGATTAATCCCTGTCATGGTTGCCCTGTTTATATGTAATCGAGCGTCGATCTAGGTTAGACTTTTATCACCTTACATTCACTATCCTCCGCCCACTACCTGCGCTTGCATTGACAACTCAATACATTTCTTTCTCGGTATCGCTCCGAATGGAACCACCCAGTTGTGTAGACGATGCTTTATTTGGTCCTACTGTTCAGGGCACCTTTGTATGGCTTGTGCCCCTTGTCATCTCAGGTTACAGAAAGGTCCTAGATCTATCAGACCTCTACACTCTGGACCCAAGCGTGTCGATTGAAGCCCTACAGAAGACCTTCGCCAAATACACCCAACGCGCCCTTTTCCGGAAGGACCAACAAAATGACTTGGCCAAAGCAGTTGCTCGCACATTAGCAATCCCCCTCCTACTGCCAGTCATTCCTCGTCTCGCCCTGGTCGGCTTCACAATTTGCCAATCTTTTCTCATCGAGACGATACTCGAATGGCTCACCAAGCCCGATACCGATCTGGTAGTCAAAGAGAAATATGCGCTTATCGGGGCGACAGCGTTAGTGTACGTCGGTATGCCAATCATCACAGCTCTCTATTGGTATCTCCACGAACGGGCCCTATTCATGATCCGCCCATGCCTGGTATCGGCAATCTACCAAAAGACCACCCAGCAGCCACTTTCCGCTGGGGACGACAAGGCAGCCGTCACGCTGATGAGCACTGATGTCGAGAGGATCATGATGGGTCTTATGCAGCTGCACGAATTCTGGGCCAACCCCCTCCAGGTGGCGATTGTGAGCTGGCTTCTTCAGCGTCAGATCGGCACCGCCTTTGTGGCGCTCATTGTTGTCATCCTCGGCGCCATTATGTCGACTCTCGTGATGCGGTTTGTGGGTCCTAAGCAGATAGCTTGGATGCAAGCAATCCAGAAGCGGGTCGGGCATACCTCAACCGTGATTGCTACCATGAAACACTTGAGAATTTCTGGACTTACCCAGCCAGTGGAAGATTTCATTCGAGGATCGCGGCGGGACGAACTGCACGCTGGAGGGAAGTTCCGAACCTTTCTTGTGACTTCAGTGGGAATCGGATTCATGCCAGTGCTCCTAAGTCCTATCTTCGCCTTTGCGTTTAGCTTGGGCAATTTGAACACCACCGCCATCTTCACCTCCCTCGCCTACCTTCAGCTTCTGTGCGGGCCATTCTCTGCCCTCTTCCAAGTCGCCCCCCAGCTGCTTGCGGCCTTTACATCTCTGTCGAGAATCCAGATGTTTCTCGAGGGAGAATCGAGACACGACTATCGCCGTCCCCTCATGTCCGATGAGCCGTGGAAAGAAAAGGTTGCAGGGGAGAAGTTGTCCCCAGTGGTAAATATCACGGCTGGGGGCTTCGGCTGGCAATCAAACGTGCTGACTTTGAAAAACCTCGAGGTTTCGATCTCCGCAGGATTGAATATAATCCATGGTCCCGTTGCCTGCGGAAAGACCACACTGTGTAAAGCGCTGTTAGGAGAGATTCCGTTCACCGAAGGTGAGGTCTTCATACGGACTAAGTTCCGCCAAATTGGATATTGTGATCAGGTTCCGTTTCTTCCCAATGCGAGTATTCGCGATGCCATTCAAGGGTACTCTACCTTCGATGCCGAAAGATATACGAGCGTGGTCGAGGCCACAATGCTGTCTCGCGATCTGCAGCTGCTTTCCCAGGGTGATCAGACCCAAATTGGCAGCGATGGAATCGCACTCAGTGGCGGCCAGAAGCGGCGAATCGCGCTTGCCAGGGCGTTATACCTTCAGTGTGACCTGCTGATCCTGGACGACGTCCTCAGCGGACTAGACGCGACCACTGAGGAGCACATCCTTCACGCAGTCTTCGGTCCTTCAGGGATTCTGAGGGATAGAGGGGCGGTCGCAATCTTCTGCACCAGTGCCATTCGACATCTGTCTGCAGCGGACTATATCATCGCATTGAGAGAGGATGGGACAATCGCAGAGAAGGAATCACCCCGCGATCTTCGTACCCTCACTCTGCAAACAGCCGCCGCGAGCGAAAGAGGAACGATTCCGCGTCCTTCCTCTCCACCATCTGCACCGACAAACCAATCTCCCCCCGCAAATGGTTACAAAGCAGTTATTCCAAAGATCAAGAGCGGGGAATCGAGTCGGGCCATTGGAGATGCTGCCGTCTTCTTGTACTACTGCCGCAGCATTGGCCCTTGGCTGCTCATCAGCTTCGCCACATTCGGCGTTCTCTGCGGGTTTCTCTACAACTTTCCCACGATCTGGATCGGCTATTGGAGTACTGATACCTTCGGCCAATCAAAGTCCTTTTACCTGGGAATCTATGCTTGTCTCCAGTGTCTGGCCCTAGCCACTATTGTTAGCGAGGCGGCCATCGGCATGCTGGCCATCATACGTACCTCGGGATCGCGTCTGCACGATGCATTGCTGCGGACGGTCATCGCCGCTCCCTGGTCCACCCTATCCCAGACCGACACAGGGGTCCTCACTAACCTGTTCTCGCAGGACATGACCTTGATTGACGGGGAGTTAGCTCAGGCGCTGATTAATACCTCCCTGCAGGTTTGGATCGCCATCGGTGGGGCCGCGGTGATCGTCGCCGGCTCATCGCCCTACACCCTGATCGCCTACCCCTTCGTGCTGGCCATCATATACGCAATCCAGCGTTTCTATCTACGCACCTCCCGTCAGCTCCGCCTGCTGGACCTTGAGGCCAAGAGCCCTCTCTACAGCCACCACCTCAATACCATCAAGGGTGTTGCCACACTGCGCGCATTCGGTTGGGTCAAGGAGTCAATCGGCGTGAACAACGCGCTACTCGACGCATCCCAGCGCCCGGCCTACTTGCTGAGCATGATCCAGCGGTGGTTGTCCTTTGTTCTCGACATGGTAGTGGCTGTTCTAGCCGTGCTCGTCGTAGCGCTGACCACCCAGCTTCGCGACACAAGTGCCGGCTTCACTGGAGCCAGCTTGGTCTCCCTGATGAGCTTTGGCAAGACCCTGGCCGGCTTGGTCCGCATGTACACGGCCCTCGAGACTTCCATCGGTGCTGTAGCCCGGATCAAAGCATTCTGCGACAGCGGGGCTGGTGGTGCCGGGCTTGAGAAGAATCGGCTGGAGGATGACAGCAGTAAGGACGGCGATAGTTCAACCCGACTTCCTGCCTCATGGCCGGATAAAGGCAGCATTGCATTCCAGCATGTCTCTGCTTCGTACAGGTAAATTGCGCTTTCCGTGTTTGTGACGTGAAGATAGCCCTTATACTAACTACTCGCAGCAACGAAGCCGCTCCCGACTCGGACAGCCTCGCCATCCGAGACGTATCATTCACAATCGAACCCGGACAGAAAGTTGCAATCTGCGGTAGAACCGGAAGGTGAATCCTCAACCCATCTTTCTTTAAGATGATACTTCACTGCTCTCATCCCCACAAACGAGAAGGCTAACAAACCCGAACCAAGCGGCAAATCGACAATCCTCCTTCTCCTCCTGCGCCTCTTGGACCCAATCCCCTCACCGCGAACAACCACCATCACCGCAGCTGTCACCAACGCGGACGAAGACACAGCCCTGACAATCGACGGCGTACCTCTCCACTCAATCGACCACGCGACCCTGCGCCATCGCCTCATTGCCGTCCCGCAAGACGCCATCTTCCTCCCCGACGGCACCGCCTCCTTCCGCACGAACCTCCTCGCTCCATTCGCGAACGAGACCACCGATCCCGCCGAGTGCCAAACCATCCTGGAGCGCACGGGTCTCTGGAGCGTGGTCACGGCGCGCGGGGGTCTCGACGCCCCCTTCACAGCCGACGCGCTGAGCCACGGCCAGAAGCAGCTGTGGAGCTTGGCGCGCGCGGTGCTGCGGCGGCGGGTGCGTGCGAAGGGCTTGGCGGAGGAGCAATGCACTACAGAGCCTTCTGGCGCTGGCTTTCCCTTTGGTAAGGCAATGTCAAAGACCCCTGCTGTGTCGCTGGGTGATCGCGATCACCTCCCTTCTATGTATCAAGGTGCTAGCGGAGGGATATTGCTGCTCGACGAGATCGACAGCGGCGTGGACGCAGCGACGCAGCGGGTGATGCGCGATCTCATCCGGAGTGAGTTCGCGGGGTACACGGTGGTGATGGTCGGACATCGGCTGGAGTTCGTGGGAGAGTTCGACCGGGTTCTGGTCATGGATGCGGGCCGGCTGGTGGAGGATGGGGCGCCGGCGGAGTTGGTTGCTCGGCCGCGGGGGTGGCTTAGGGATCTGTGGATGGTTGGGAGGGCGGAGGCTTGATGGCGTTGTTTGCGTTTGTGTTTGTCTGCATGAAGCAGGGCCGGCCGTCTGTATACTCACTGGGAAAGCAGCGTTCTGGGGGAGAACCCCCAGACCCCCCTTTTTTTTCACCTTTTCAAGTATAGCAGTATGCGACGGGGGATTTCCCGCCGGGAATCTCCCTGATACTCCGCGGCTGGATAGTCTACGCTGGGCCAGGAAGCTGAAAGAAAGGGGGGTCTGGGGGTTCTCCCCCAGAACGCCTGCCTGTCCAAGTCTTTAAGAGTAGCAGTGATCTGGGGGAGAACCCCCAGACCCCCCTTTCTTTCATTTTCCCAAATATGGCAAGACGAAAGGCTATATACCCCTGCTGTACAGTGTACACCTACCCAGGAAGCTGAAAGAAAAGGGGGGTCTGGGGGTTCTCCCCCAGAAACGCCAGCCAGCCAGCCCGCGTCCAGCACGTCCATATCACATCACATCACATCGTATTGTATTCTTTATCTCCATGCTTCCCAACATAAACTCATAGTACGTTAAGCAGCCGCAGTCTACACGCCCCTCTCCTCCAGCACCCGGCGCAACACCAGCTGCAGCCCATTCACATACCTCGCCCCGAGCATATCAGCATGCCGGCCCTCGCACTGATGCACCGCCATGCCCCTTTGCGACAGCCCCCTCCACTGCCCCAGATACCGCTCGACCCAGACCGCCCGGTCCGCCGTGACCGTGAGCAGTGGATCGACGGCGAACACATCGACCGGCGCGCCCGCCACGCTCCCGGCGGGCGTATACATGCCCGCGGCGCGCGAGAACCCCGCCGTCACGTCGGTGACATGCCGGAGCGCCTCCCTATCCAACCGCAACGCCTTCACGCGGTTAGCGTCGGCCTCAGCGAGGATCACATCCAATGCGCGCTCGCGCTCCACATCCCGCAGCTGCGGCATGAGCGCCACGCAGCGTCTTTCGGAGATGAGCTCGTAGAAATACCCGATCATGACCAGGGCTTCGGTCCAGGTGAGCTGCCCCACTAGGGGCGCGATGTCGGGGGGTCCGTCGAGGGCGCCCAGGAACCGCACTTCTGCGCCGGCGGCTTCGAGCCGTTTGGCGATCTCAAAGGCGATACTGCTGCCGAGCGAGTAGCCGGCGAGGGCGTAGGGGCCGGAGGGTTGGGTGTGTTGCATTGCGGTGGCGTAGGTGTCGGCCATCTCGGCGATGCTGGTGAACAGTGGTTCGCCGGGTTGCACGCCGCGCGAGCGGAAGGCGTAGATGGGCCGGTCGTGGAAGGCCCGTGCTAGGTTGGCGAAGATGAGGACGTTGCCGGAGGCGGGGTGCACGAGCCAGAGTGGGGTTTTGGGGCCGGTGAGTTGGAGGGGGACGACGGGGTCGTATTCTGTGGGGAGGGCTGGGGTTGGGGAGGGGGTGGAGAGGGTGTTAGGGCTGGGTTGGTGTTGGCGTTGTTGTTGTTGTTGTTGCTTGGAGGCGAGGCGGCGGGCGAGGCCGGCAACGGTTGGGTCCATGAGGAGGTCCGGGAGGGTGAAGACCACCCCGAACGTCTGGTACAGGTCTTGCGTGACGGTGTAGAAGTCGAGCGAGGAGAGACCCAGGCTGAAGAGGTTGGTAGTCACACTGACGGCGTCCAGATCGGCCGCGTGGAGGCGCGCGCAGACGAGGGTGAGGATGGCTTGCTCGGTGGGTGAGGAGGGGGCCTGTCGATGCGCTTGGCGGTGCGCATGGATGCTGCTCTCGTGGGCTTCGCGTTCAGAGTTCAGGGCACCGGACTCGAAGAGGCGCCGGAAGTGCGCGCGGGAGAGCTTGCCGAGGGAGGTCTTTTCGAAGTAGCGGCGGGGCAGGGGGAGCACCGCGGCGGGCTTGACGTGCACGACCAGGCTGGCGATTCGCTCGATGGCTTCGGTGGTGGCGACACGGGCCGCAGCGTCGTCCGGGCTGTAGCTGGGCAGATACACCACGCAATAGGACTCGGTCAAGGCGCCAGGGGGCCGGTGGGCGAAGACCAGCGTGAAGCTCGGGGTCAGACCGGGGATCCGCGCCTGCTCGAGGCTGTGCTCGACCTCAACGGCAAAGATGGTCAGCCCGTTGAGCAAGAGCGTGTCCTTGGTGCGGCCCGTGATGTATAGCTGGCCGTGCGCGTCCAGGTAGGCGTTGTCCCCCGTGATGAACCAGCCGTCGGACGTGAAGGCCGCACGCGTGGCGGCGGCATCCCGATAGTATTGGTCGAACAGCACAGCTCCGCGCAGCTGCAACATCCCCTCCTCGCCCGCAGCCGCCTCGCGCTCGTCCATCTCCCGCAGCACGCGCATCTCCACCCCGGGGATGGGCAGGCCACAGCACATGAACTCGCCCGCCGTCTCGTGGAGGCCGTCCACGGTGTGGTCGACCAGGTCCCAGACCATGCCCGCGCATGACTCGGTCAAGCCGTAGCCGGCACGGATGAAGGGCCGGGCGCCGTAGGGCTCCAATGCGCGGAGGAGCTGCACCGCCATTTGCCGCACGGTGGCCTCGCCGCCGGAAAAGACACAGCGCAGACACGAGAGGTCCCAGCTCGGGGCGGACTGGGCCTCCTGCTCCTGCTCCTGCTCCGGCGTCGGACGACAGACGCGCTCGCACAGCAGGGCCAGGAAGAAGTTGGGGGCGAAGCTGAGGGAGACGCGATGACGATCGACCAGGTTGAGGAACCGGCGCGGCTCGGCCACCACGAGCTCAGTCGCCACCTGGATCTGCTCCGCCCCTAGCCGCATGGCGTGGAGGTGCATCTCGACCAGGTTGACGACGTGGTCGAGCGCAATCCAGCTGAGGAAGACATCCTGAGAGGTCGCCCCGCAGTGCGCGGCCTTCCCGGCCGCTGCGGCCAGCATCTGCGGCTGGCGGAGACACACGGCTTTGGAGAAGCCGGTACTGCCTGAGGTGAGCATCAGGGCTCCGAGATCATCTGCCCGTTGATTGCGATTCACTGGGAGTGGAGGAGAGGTAGACGAAATGGTCAATTTGCTGGTCAGTGCGGATTGCTGATCGACGCGATACAAACGCGGGGTGTCGATGCCCTGGAAGGCGCACGCCATGCGGCCGTTGGTGAGCACCACCGGCCCATCCAGCAGCTGGAGAATGTGTTCGGCCTGCGCAATGCGACGGTCGGTCGAGACCGCAAATTTGGGAACAATACAAGGCAAGTAGCCTGCGACGGTGCAGGCCCAGAACCAGCGGATGTTTTCCTCGTGGGTGTCGAAATGTAGCAGGAATACCGTCTCTCGCTGCAGATTCGACACCGAGGTTTGCAGCCAGTGCGCATCGTGGCAGGCCTGGTCGAGAAGCTGCTGGTAGGAGAGCCAGTGGCCCGACTCTGCTGACTCTGCAGTGTAAAAGGTGATGCCTGCGGGGGTGGTTGCAGCTCGCTGCAGAAGCTCGAGCAGGCTAGTAGCCTCGCGTGGGGGCAGGGTCTCACCAACAATGACTTCCGCAGTGCAGCTCCGCACTTGGTTTTTGCCCAGCCCCAAGGCGGCAGGTGAAGGACCAGGATGCAGTAACATGATGAGAGGGAGGGGTGTTGGGGACGATTATCGAAAAAGTCCCATGGTGCTTGGGTGCGTGCATTCTTATGGGCAGGTTGCAGAGCTAAGCACTGCATCGCCGATTTGCGAGGCTTGTCTGCATGTCTTATCGGACGATGCATTTTGGCGCGGGGGCCAACAAGTACGGAGTCTACGGAGTCTTTGCGGAGTTCATGGACAAATCTCCTTCGTACAGGAATTGATTAGTGCCGGATTAGGGCCGACGCGATGCAGGGGCGGAAAAGTGGGCCGGTGGTTTGGTCTTGTCTGGTCTTGTCCTGTCAAAGTCCGGCCCTTCCCCTCTTTTCTCTTCTTTTCAATCTGGCAGATATCGGTGATAATTGGTGATTCGAACTAGTGTGCAGTCCAGCACTGTATCCCTGTATCCCTGTCACAGTATCCCTGCCATCAGGATCAGTCTGGCCACCATCAGGAGGCAGTAAGGGTTATTTATCACTGGCAGAGCGCCTCTTCGCTGACAATGGGCTTTGTTGGGTTGTTGAGAGGATCTTGACGATCTGACGGATTGTCCTCCCATCCCTTTCCCCATCGATTCTATTCTCATTTCTTATCTTTTATCTACAATTTGATCACTATCCTTCACCATGTCGGAGACGATGTCCTCGTCGTCCTCCACCCACACCTCGACGCTAACCGCGGCGGAGCTGGCGGAGTGGTCGCAGTCACTCCAGCCGGTGGTGTTGGGCCTCAGCGTCACCATGCTGGTGCTTGGCAATCTGGGCGTGATGCTGCGCATCTGGGCCCAATGGCGCATCCAGAAACGCCCCATGCAGGAGGACTATTGGCTGGTCGTGGCTGTCGTACGTGTTCTGGTCGTCATCCTCTGCATCCACAGACTCAACCGAGTCACTGACCTCCCCCTCTCCTTGGCCTCTAGCTCTTCGCCAACGTGGTCTCCGTCGCCACCATAGTTGCGGTGCACTATGGACTGGGATACCACCTCTTCCGCGTCAATACGGAGGATCCCACCCTGCATGCGCTGAAGTGGATTTTCTTGTGCGTGTGGCTCACAGCCACCTTCAACGGGCCCTCGATGCTGGCCACCAAGATCGCCCTGCTGCTCTACTACCGTCGGCTGTTCATTGTGCAGCAGATCTGGCTGCGCATCTTCTGGTGGACGAACATGGTATACGTGGTGCTGTGGGCGATCGGGTCGACCATCTCGTACGCGCTCTCGTGCGTGCCGGCCAGCTACTACTGGGAGCGTTTCGACCCGCAGTCGACCATGCACGGCACCTGCCATAACACCACCACCGCCGACGCTCTGCCGCTAATTATGGACCTGGTCTCCGATGTCGCCATCCTGGTGCTGCCCATTGCCACCATCGCCACCCTGCAGATGCCGCTCGCCCGCAAAATAGGGCTCATCATCGTGTTCTCGGTCGGATTCATGTACACTCCCCTCCCCTCTGCCCGAATTCCCTGCGTCTCCTCCTTATATCCATATCTCTAATCCCACTCTCCGCAGCGCCGTCGTCTCCGCCATCGCCCGCGTCGCCGTCCTCTACACCGCCACGAACCTGCACTCGGACTTCACCTACGCGGCCGCGCCCTTCGAGCTGCTGGACGTGATCCAGCTCAACGTGGCGATCGTGTGCGCGACCGCCGTGCCCATCGCCTCGGGCTTCCGCGTCGCCTTCAGCAAAAAGTTCCGCCGCTCCAACAAGAGCTGGACGGCGGGCGGGGCGGCTGGGAACACCTACTACAGCCGCGCCTCGACGGCGGCGGCGGCGGCGCGGGCCGCGCGTCGGCGGCTCGAGGACGAGGCCAGCAGCAGCACCGAACAGCTGCAGATGGGCCACTTCACCACCACCAGCTGCGCCTCCAAGGACCCCGACGATCGGGCCCGGGGGGCAGCCGCAGGCCTCGTCTCAGCCAATGGGATCCTGGTGAAGATGGATGTGGATATCCGGTAGTACTCTCGGCTGTGTACAGTACATGCAAGACCTAAGCAAGAAGACATGTCTGTAAGAATAGCAGCGTCCTGGGGGAGAACCCCCAGACCCCCCTTTTCTTTCAGCTTCCTGGCTAGGCGTAGACTGTATAGTTGGGATGTTACCCAAAAGGTGAAAAGAAGGGGGGTCTGGGGATTCTCCCCCACAACGCCCGCCCTACCAAGTCTCAGGAATAGCAGGATTCTGGGGGAGAACCCCCAGACCCCCCTTTCTTTCAGCTTCCTGGCCAAACGCCGTAACCCTCATGCTCATACTCATACTCATATCTCGTAACCACACATCCCCATTTCAATCCCACACCCATACTCATAGAATAACCACTCACTGCACCCGGGTAGCACACCACCAAACCACACGCGCATTATCATCCACAAAGCTCATATTGCGCATCTTCGCCGTCGTCTCGCCCACCTCCAACTCCGCCTGCACCTCCCACTTCGTGCCCGTCCTCCGCTCGACCTCGCGCCACAGCCCCAACAAACTCCCCACATCATGTCGATAATGCAGCGTCTTATCCATCAGCCCCGTCAAGTCATAAACCCCCGCCACCGTACTCCCCATCTGCCGGCCACACACAATCGCCCCCGGCTCACCCCCAGTCAGCCCAATCAGCCTCACCACACCGCGGACCTGGCCCTCGTAATCCCAGAAATGCAGCAACGAGCCCGCCCACACCACATCCACCTTGCCCGCGACCGTCCCCACAATCGCGCCCCGCGCCCACTCCTCCTCGCTCTCGACCCCGAAGTCCCCGCCCACAAACGTCGCAGGAAAGCGTTGCGCGTCGTCGCGGAACAGCGTGTACCCCAGCTCGAAGAACCCGGGCTCGAGATCGAAGCCGTACAGCTGGGCCGCCGGGATCCCCGCGCAGTGCACCAGGTGCCGCAGCTCCTGGCCGACGCAGCACCCGGCGTCCAGGAAGCCGTGGGCCGGCGAGGCGCGCAGCCGCGCTAGCACCTGCGGGTAGAACGGGAGGCGCGCGAGGTGGCAGCTAAGGAAGCGCATTTGGCCGATGCAGGGGTAGGGGAAGATGGCGAAGGCTTCGTCTCTCTGTTTGGTTTCTCGCGGGGTCAGGATGGGTGGCTTTTAGTTGGCTTGGCACGAGGGGTGGCGTTGTGTGAAACATTGGCCATAGGGAGATATTGTCTTTTGCTGGCAAGAAAGGGGTTTGCGTACCAAGGCTAAGACATGAGGGAGGACCTCGTCGGGCTTGAGCCCGCTGTACTCTTCCAGCAGGGACTGCGCGGCGGGGTCGATGGCCGTGACGCTGGTTTGGTACCAGCCTGGTTTGGTGGTTGTGGTGGTAGTGTCGGTGGTGGACATGGTGGCTGAATGCTTTGTGTCTTGGCAGTTGGAAGGATGGGCGAGGGAAATGAATCAGGACAAGAGTTTGAATTGTACTCCGTATTTGACTTGCTATTGCCAAGGGGGGAGGATCCTAAATCAGCAAACAAACCGAAATGCCTCAGACTTTACTGATTGAAGAGGGGTAACATCGAACTAGCCAGCTAGTGCTGACGGGAGAGTCTTTAGCGCGTGAAGCTTAGCCCTAGCTTGCTCCTGCGTCGAATGCACGCTACTTATTCACTGACTTAGTACTACAGGGTAGCACATCCTTCCGGTCCCCCGTCGGATGCCCGTCAGCAAATCAACTCCAACTGCGTAAATCACCCTCCCTTCTTCCATACTGCCACCCAAACCTTCCACCCTCACTTAGCAGTGCCTGAATCAGTACCGGAAGTCCCAGGGCAAAGGCCATCATCCCAAACAGCCTCCACGACCGCCAACGCGCTCCCCTCCGCCCGCCGGACCCCGACCCAGCGAAACCGCTCGTCCGCCTCCCGCAGCAACCCCCGCCACTGCGCCTCGTCCCGCTCGCGCGCGTTCAGCAGCAACAGCATATTCAGGTCCATCGCGCTGGCGAGCCGCCGCTTCCACATCGGCTCCTGCGCCGGGTATTGCTCCAGCACGTGGTCGTGGATGAGCACGCGCGCCCCCGCGCGCAGCGCCGGCCGCAGCTGCCGCAGAATCCGGATGGCGTGGCCGTCCCCCCAGTTGTGGAGGATGTGGCGCAGGTAGAAGACCCGCGCTGCTGGGGTGGTGGGCGGTTGCGGGGTGAAGAAGTCGTGCGCGTGGAAGGAGACTCGGTCTGTTGCTGCGGATGGCGGCGGCTGCTGCTGCTGCTGCGCCCTCGCGCGAGCAATCACCCCCGGAAGATCCTGCACCACGAAGCGCAGGTGCGGGAACGCGGCCGCCAGCGCGAAGCTGATGTCGCCCTGCGCGCCGCCCACGTCGACGACCACGCTGTCCGCCGGGAGGCCGGCCAGGAGCGGGTGGACAGATGCGACCAGTGCCGCCGGGCCCATGGCCGCCCCCGACGCGTAACCGCGCTTGCTGGCGGCGAAGGTGGCGGCGCGGGCCGGCGACTGCGCCAGCGCCTCGTACAGCGCCTGCCCGTTGTTGGCCAGCGCGAAGCCCTATCGTGTCTTGTCAGTGCTTAGTCCTGTGTATCTATCCTTGGGCAGATTCTCCCGGAGGGGGAATCTGCCGCTGTATGGTGCTTTGTTTGGGAAGATGAAAAAAAGGGGGGTCTGGGGGTTCTCCCCCAGGACGCTGCTGGTCTGGAGACTTGGGCGGGGTGAGCCTTCTGGGGGAGAACCCCCAGACCCCCCTTTTCTTTCAACTTCCTGGATTTGGCGTACTCCGGTGCGTGACATGGTGTTGTTTGAAGAGAGGGAAAAAGGGAGGGCGTTCAATTGCCGGGGTCTACTAACCGACTCAGTGGGCTCCTCGGAGCCGGGAAAGCGCGTTAATGCCTCGATCGTCTATGTCAAACACACCCTGGTTAGCCGAGATGAGTTGCCGTGTTGGGTTAGCTGGGGAGGGGGCACTATATACCCTGGTCGCGCCGGGCCAGCTATTCGTGCAGGTCGAGCCAATCCAGCCATGGAACCCTTCCTGGCGCAGCAGCATGCTGGCGCGCGTGTGGGCGACTTCGTTCTCGGCGGGCTCGTCGAAGACCCGGATGGTCATCGCGTGGCGGAGGAGGCGCCGGACGTCGGCTTCAGGGACGTCGCATTGCGCGGATAAGGCTGCAAAGGAGATGGCTCCGTTGGGAGGGACCAGGTGCGCGACGTTGAACTGTTGGATGAAGTGCAGGGCGATGAGGTGGGCGTGCTTGGTCCCGTTATATTAGTAGTGTAAGCAATTCAGGGGGTGTATGAGGGGCCGTACAATGGCATAGGAGCGCAGGAGATCGGCCGGGTCGAGCAGCAGATCCTGGATCTCGCACGCGGCGTGCAGGAGGGCGTTGCGTGCGGCCTCGACGGGCGGGGGCAGCGCCAGCGACGGAGGGCTAGTGGCGGCAAACGAGGGCTCCTCTATCCCGTGCTGCGCTAGCAGGGTTCGTAATTGCTGGGCCGAGTCGGCGATGGTCGTGGCCAGGGATTCGATGCGCGAAGCCATGGTGTACGGGGGGAAAGCGGAAGGGTGGGCAGATGGTGCAGGTAGTTGGGGAGATTGGTTTCAAACGGACTGCGCATCTGATATAGTGTACCTCGGTTGCTGGCTTTCTACAGGGGGGGGTTAATGGAAAATGCCAGATTGCATGACCCGGAGTACAATCTGGCCCCCGCTAACGGGCTTAGTGCATGCAGCTTACATTAAGTGCTGGAGTAGAGTCGAGTTTGGGCCGCACGCGTGTGCCGTTCTTCCGGGCGTTGTAATTATTAGTACAATGCTGAGTATATACAAAGTACGCGAGGTGCCAGTTTGCTCTCTACTTCCCCCCTGCCATCATTGTATTTGAGCAGCGCTTTCTGTGGTCTACTGTATAGATCAGACGGAGACCACCGCCGCACCGACCAGGGCCAATGCGCCGGCCAGATAACTGCCCGCTGCCATCCTGTGGCCCGCCCCACTCGACGTCTCGCTAGCGGCGGCGCCGGTGCTCGTGCCTGTGCTCGTGCTCGTGCTGGAGCCGGATCCGCCCGAGCTGGAGCTGGTGTCGTTGCTCGCCGCTGTGACGCGGAAGTAGTTGGCCGCGACCGGCTTGCCCAGTCCGGTCTGATTGAGGAAGCTCTCCAGCGGCAGGTTCAGTCGGTTCAGGGGAGTCTCAGCAGTGGTCTGCATGAAGGACTCGTAGCGGCTGGGGACGCTGAAGTTGGCGGGCTGGTCGAACAGGAACAGGGTGTAGTTGTGCGTGCCGGACTTGGGCTGGGGGGCAATGTAGGAGGCCAACACGTTCGCGTCGCTGGTGCTGTTCACGGCGGTGGTCAGGTTGGCCACAACGGTATGCACGATCACCGATGGGGGAGTGGTTTTGTTCCAGTCCGGGTCGACCATCAGCAGCAGGTAGGGTCCCGAGCTGCTCAGCCCCAAGTCGTGGAGATGCGGCTCCGGCGCGCTTTTGGCGACTATACACGGCGCATTGGTCAGTCAGACGGTCTAAAACGGGGATCGGTCGTGCATACCGGTCGTGTTAAGAAACTCGCCAGGGGTGAAGCTGACTGCAGCCGACCCCACGGAGTAGGTGGCATTCAGTACTGTTGACGGCTCCCCAATGGTAGCCAGCTCAGGGGGGACGGTGTCCGCGGCTGCGGCAGTAGCAACCGCAGCGAAGGCGGCAATGGCAAAGACAGGACGCATGATGGGGATATGCGTTTCAGCTGGACGTAGCGAAATTCACAATTGGGTGGGAGGTGGGTTAAATAGAGAAACTTGCGAACTTTACTCGGTACCAATTGCGTGCCTGTTCAACACTTAGCCTAGAATAGGTCGGTTGCCGACGAGCCAGGCGAGAATGGCTCCATCAGCCTTGGCCCTGGCTAGGGGAGAAACGGTCGTCTTTCCACATGGCCGGGGCGTGTTAGCGCACATTGTTCGGGGGTTAAATTTCCTTAGCATCCTGTTATCACTCTTGGCTGCCAATCTTAGCCATGATAGTCCAGCCATGGCACACGCCGACGCGGGATCCTTTCCAGTCTTTCGTTTATGTTGGAATTCTAGCGTTTGTTGTCCATAGCCAAGTCGGTTCATTCCATTATTGTGATCAACTGCGGTGGAGTGAAGGGTATGCTGGAGGTTTTCAGATAGTGGTGTATGCATCATTTATGCTCCCAAACATCAAGATCGCTTCGAGGAGCTGCCAGGCAGAAATTGACATGGAATAATGCGAGCGCTAGTTGCATGTATATGGATCATATCTCCGGGATGTTCTTTAAACTTTGTGATCTGTCGATTGATCGAAATGGATGTTTTTGTGGAGAAGCGTTGCGAGAACGCCAAGTCCTCGTCAACGATGACACTCATTTACAACATCCACAAGACCTTCTCAGTCAACAAGCTCATTCAAAGCAACATGAAGAATTAGCACCCATTGGTGTTTCTTACTTTTCTTGATTTGGATCTGACAGTATAGGTTTCAATGGCAGATTAGCCTGAGAGAACCTGAAGACCCTCTCAATAGTCGACGATGTTGCGATCGAGAGAGAGAAGCCGCAGCACCTGAACAGACCATATAGCATGGCTGACCAGGTCCTATAATTATCAGAAACCGTTTGCATGATCTTGTGCTAGTAACTACTTATAGCAGAAAGCTCCAGGGCTGTCACTAAAGGAGGTTGAAGGTAAGTTATTGGTCTTGGGCTATCACTTCTAGGAGGTTGACATAGTGATGGTGGTGTATTGTCCCATTTACTATCCAGATACGTGCACGGTAACTCCGTTGGGAAAAATGAGAAAAGGGCTGGGGGAATCTGGAGGGTTCGCCCCAACTAGAACGCTCGCCCCCGGATTCAGACATATCCTTAAGCTATTTCTCTTCTCCACTGCGTTCTATATTTCCCTCTTACTGTATGTGCCAAGAGGAGAAGAAGGCTATTCTTTAACATGCCTGTCAAAATTCTTGTGGGTATATCACTCTCCCAGTCTACAAACACTCTGCATGTGCCCATGCTTGTGCTTGATCATGTAATCCCCAGTCTGCTCAGGTAACAGGGCCATATGAAGATAATGAAATCCCCTTTACCGGGATGGTAATAGTACATAGATGCCGTGTGAGTGAGATAGTGGGGGAGCAGCGTCCGTGAACTGGTTCACCAATTGCGGCCTTCGCGGGGCGGCGAGCGGTGTTTGATTTTTTGGGTCGCCGCACTTTACACCGAGTCCCCGGTAAAGGTAACCTCCTGTTTTACCCAATGTACTACCAATGTGACATCATCCACCCTCTCAGCTCCAATTCCCTCCCCTCCTCCAGGAAGATTCATCCATCAGAAGGGAGTTGCTCTCGCCAAACCTACATACTACCGGAGATCCTTGAGGTCAGTGACTTCTGATTTTTTTTTCACATATGCATGCTGGTCAAAGAGCCCCCAGTCGAGCCGCCTGTCTTGCCTGGTCAGTCATTCTTGTCCCCTCGGAGCCATTCACGTATGGGAACATTAACCGCTCCGCGTGTCAAGTCGCGCGCGCAAGATTCGATGCGACGGACGGAGCCCATGTAGCAGAGTAAGGAACTTCTCGATGATATCCTGCGTGCCTGGCTGGTGTCTTCACTCGGATAGTCAGTGACTTTGTCCGTAGTGTTCTTACAAAGGGTTGAATTGTGTCTATCGTCCCAGCCGTCGGGGCGGGATCCGTCGCGGCGGTGCGCCCAAGTCGCCGGTCACCGAGGCTCCGGCTCCAGTCCACAACCCTACCTTTCCGCCCCTGCACAACTCCCAGCACGCATTCGCAGTCCCTGCGTCGACTCAGGTGACAGGAGATGAAGAGTACCTGGCAAGTATTTTCAATTTACTCGATCCTCTTGGTGGAATTCGCAACCTGGATGTGGATGGGATCGATGGGTCGAGATATAATGCTTGGAGTGGAGTGCCAGCGGCAGCAGCCCCGGACAACAATGTTTGTGATCCCATGGGAGATGTGATGGGCACGAGCTTTCTCGTACCTCTGCGCGCATATACATCCGATGAGGACATGTGAGTATCAGTATCCGAGCAGCAGCCGTGAAATCCTGTTGCGGAGTTGTATGCCGCCAGATTATGTTCATGATGGCTGACGGCGACAGAGTCAATGCTTACTATGTACACATCCATCCATTCTTACCTATACTTCCGCCTCCTCTGACAACGAACCGAATTGAAGATCGACCGTCGGCTATTCAAATTGCACAGGGACAAGTCAGGACTATCCAAGAATCCTCTTTCCCACACTGGCCGGCTTCCGTGCTCACCCTGGCCATCTCAGCCATTCTGGTATCCATTCCTCTGCCTTCTGACTCCGAGCCGAGTTTGGAATCGAGTATTACGTTGAGACGATTCGCGGCACAGCAATTCGCAGAAGCGGCGTTTCGCGCAGTGGACAACGAGATCGATGCGATTCCTCGAACACCATCCTACACAACTAACTTTGCAGGGGCCGCCACCGGTGACAACGACATCTCGCCAGTGTCTTCCGTCCTAGCCTTAATACTACTCAGTATCCATGAATACTGCCAGCGAGGGAACGTGTCACGTATGCGGCGTCGCGCTAACCAGGCGATCACGGCCGCCATGGATCTCCGCTTGCATAGCCTGGGCGCTGCGGCAACCGAGGCACAGCGCCGGGCGTGGTCGGGTGCGGTACGTTATGCGCTGAATAAAGCCCTGGAATGCGACTCTGATCAACTCTGCAGATGTTCGTTCTGTATCTGTCGTCCATTGATCAAGACGTAGTAAGTAATCTTCTCCTATCTGGAGATTCTTTGCCTTCATCAACTTTCTATCCCTACTTTTGGTAACCGCTGGTAAACTCAGTTGCCGATCATCACACTTGATGACCAGAGGATCACGACCCCGTATCCTGCCATCCACAACCACTCAGAGGTACGGCAGCGTCACTCAACACTGCACTCTTTACGAAACCTGACTTTTATCCTAAGCTGTGGCCCCTTCTACTCCAAGCCGAAGCAGCCATCCTATCTGTCTCGCAGACCTTGCATAACCGACACAGCCCTTCAGCGCTAGCAGCCGCGTCTCCTTCCCAGATCAAGGCTAAGATCACACAACTTGACTCGGACATCCTCGATATAACGCGCAAGCTCGACCGCTCACCCCGACCTGAATCCAGGACCGATATCGAAGAACAAGCCCTCTTAACAGCGTGGGCAATCGCCCGGTCCTTGGCCTATTCGTAATAATCCCCAATCCCCGCCTCTTTGCCAGCCAGAAAAACAGACTAACTGCCCATAATTCTGTTAATAGAGCCCGCGTGCGACTGCATCGTTCCCGCGCCTTCAGCAACATTCCCCCCATATTCATCCACAAGCACTGCGACCTCCCCAGCCACCCCGATCCCACCCGTCCCCCGCAGTCAACACCCGAAGACCGGATCCTCGCCGCTGCCGCCTTCCCATTCACAGAAGGGCAGTCCTCCCTGATCTGTCTCAAAGCCTCCCTGGCCATGGCGCGCGCCTACGAGAGGATCGCAGCCATTGCCACCGGGGGTGCTGTGCACCGCGGAGCACCACACCCCCAACCGACTGGAGCATCGCACGCCTCCTCCGCGGAGAGATTTGGTCTTCCCACCCCAGCGCGAGTTCCACCTCGAACGCACATCATACCGTTCTTCCTCTGCGGCGCGATGCAGGCCTCGTACGTCCTGCTCATGACTTACCATCAGCTTCGGGCTGCGCTCTGGTCGACGGGGGAGGATTCGCGGGTCTCTTTGTCCCAGTACGCGCACCTACTTCCGCACCCGGTGGAGCTGGGATTCGAGATCCAGGATGTGGAGCGGCTGCTGCGGGAGATACAGCAGGGCGTGGACTCGATCCTTGGGGTCATGCGGTTGACGGTCGTGTTTGAGGGGGTTGGGGGGATTGCGGCGGAGGTACAGAGCGCATATTATTCGGTGAGTGGTGGGGAATTGTAATTATCTGTTTTGTTCTTGTCTTCTTCCATTGTATAGTGGATGAATCATGAGTTGCAGGGTAAGACGTATCCTGGTTTAGGCTTATTCGTTCAATAGTGTTGGATTTCGGTAGGCATTGTTGATTGAGTAGACCGCATGATTTGGTTCCCCACTGGCCGCGCAGGGGCGGCAAATGATCGGGTCGCCGCTGCACTGTACCAAGTTAGGTGCCGTGCTGCAATTAGGGCTGGACGGGTGGGACTCAAAAGCCGCCGTGGACCTCTTAGATGCACTGCAACACAAGATCTATTCACAATGGTTTGGGATTTGTTCGTGAGTAAAGCTGGGAGGAATGACTCTCCATTGTATACCTCTGAGAGAGTCACCCGGATCTTGAACATCGTGTGTAGAGTACATCAGTGTACAGTCACGTTTCTACAAGAAACCTCGACAAACAACCCGATTCAAACGAACGGTCTAAAAACAAGATAAACACTTCGACAACAACATACCATCCCCTAACCCCTCAAGACCACCTCAAACCCTCACACACCCATCAGCATCATCCCCCGACAGAACAGCACGACAGGCCTGCAAGAAATCCCGCTTCAAGTCCTCGACATCCTCCAACCCACAACTCACGCGCAGCAAACACTCATCACAACTACTATCGCTCATCGCCCTCCACTCAATCAAACTCTCCACATCGCCCAGACTCGTCGCATGCTGAAACACCCTCATCCTCGACGGCAACCGCCTCGCCAACTCCGGCGTGCGCGCGGTGATAGCGAAGACCGGCCCGAACCCCGCCGGCATCTGGCGCCGCAACCACCCCCCACCCCCACCATCACCCGCAAGATCCAGGTCCTCCACCTGCAGCGACGCATGCCGTACACCCCGCAGCACCTTCCCCACCACCGACGCAGCAGCAGCGGCAATCTCCGCCACCAACCACGCGACCAACACCCGCGCCGTCTCCGCCTGCCTGCGCACGCGCAACTCCAACGTCCGCACCGACCGCAACCCCAACCACCCCTCCAAGCTCCCCATAACCGCCCCGAGCACCATCCGTTCCGCCTTCAACCGCTCCGCCCACCCCTCCCTGACCCTCTCCGGATTCACCACCAGCACTCCCCCCAGCATATCCGAATGCCCCCCCAGGTACTTCGTCGCACTGTGCATGACAACATCCGCCCCGGCGAGCGCAATCGGATCCTGCAGCGGCGGCGGCGCCAGCGTCGAGTCGACCGTCAGGTACGCGCCGGCGGCGCGGGCCCGCGCGGCGTACCCCACTAGATCGCGCGCCTCGCCCGTCGGGTTCACGGGCGTCTCCACGTGGATGATGTCCCCCGGCTGCAGGAGGTGGAGTTGCTCCAGCGGGAGTTTCTGGCATTTGCGGCCGTCGCTGAGGCGCGAGACGAGCGAGATCACCGCGTGCACGCCGTGGTAGCCCTCCCCTATAAAGATCCGGGCGGGCTGGAGGAGGACCAAGATCGCGTGGAAGGCGGCGAGGCCCGTGCTGTAGGTGAGGATTCCGGCGGTGGGGTGGAAGATGCCTTGCAGGACGTGTTCGAGGCGCGTGGTGTTCGGGGCGGAGTAGCGGGCGTAGATGTGGGAGTCGTGCGGGGCGTTGGGCTGGGCGTAGAGGTGGTTAGACGGTGGGAGGTGGTGGATGGGAATAGCTTGGGGAGGGGGGCTTGGGAGGGGGGAGGGGGGCAAAGGGTGACGCACGTCTTTGTTCTCCATTGGGATCAGGTGCGCGGGGTCCCGCGCGTATCGGTAGGTCACGGCTACGTGCATTGGGGGCGCGATGGCGCGGTGTGCGCTGAAGTCGTCGTCGGCGTGGATGGCGTGCGTGGTCATTGCCATGGGCTGGGGTGCGAGGTCTGAGGGCATTTGAGGGTTGTTGGGGGTTGGGGTGGGTGTCATGGTTTGTGCTTGAAGTTGAAGCGTGGGATGGCGTTTGGCTTGGGTAGAATCAGAGTCTTGGGGGAGGAAGGGTAAAGACACGGGGAAACAGGGTGTGTGTCATCGGTGGAGATGGCGCTCCTTTTCTCTCTTTCTTGCTATCGTAGTTGAAGATATAACGGTATGTACTATACCTTGAACTACAAAGGCGAGTCGACCCACTTCATACGCCGCTCCGCTTTGGGTCGCCGCGTTGTTGGTCCGTGGCGTGGTGACCGGTTCTTACCTCCACCTTACCGGTATGATAGATTACAATCATTGATGAGAAAGGTCGTCCCTTAATCAGTGAGACTACTAGCTGCGACAGGGCCGAAACTTTCCGGTGTTGACAGCATGTTGGCGAGCCAGGACTTGCGACTCCTTGCAGCCAGCTGCCTCGGCAGGTTTATGATACCAGCCATCAAGGTGGAGACTACCACTCCATTAATTATACAATACCACGAAAGAGACTATTATGCTATAGCTGACATAGGCGAGGAAGACATATGCATGGTATGTGTCGAGCATACAAGCTAGCTACCACTGGGAATCAGACCAGCGCAAAATACCGGTTTATTGCAATGCTAGATATATTTCATTCTGTCCTCATAAATTCAGCAGTCACCTTCCCTGCCTAACCAACCCCACCCTTCCATGGAAATCGTCTCAAACTCACGAGGAAATCCCTGACGTCCAGCTCCTTCACACACTGTCCAACAAACTGTCAAGCCACCGGCTCCTCAGTCGATCTCGCCTTCGCCGTCCAGGATGAAACGGGCCACGGTGCGCCAGGCCGCTTTGCAATTGTCGATGTCGTCCTCGTCCAAGCGGAACTCCTGTCGGCCATTGGAGCAGAATAAGACAGGTACTATGTTCGGCAGGGGCTCGACCAGGAAGTGAACGCGGTAGCCGGGAGAGAGCAGCATCAGAGCCATCCGCTTATCGCGAAGATCGGGCTGCCGCTGCCGCTGGCCTACCCACTTCCGCATGACTGAGTCCACAAAAAACATCCAGTCGTTGGTCACCGTCCTGTGCGTCTCATATGACAGCATCAGAAGCTCGAACTGAGGGAGGCTCGTGTCCCACGGCCATTCGCCGGTAATGCGTGGGTCCCGGGTGCGCTCGGCTGTCTCCGACATACTTTCACTTCTGTAAGAATGGGTCCCAATAGATGGTTGCTGGGGTACTGTCACCTGAGAGACGCTGCAAAGGGGACTAGGAAGGGGAGTCAGGTGTTCACGTAAAAGGAAACGGCCATGGATATCGGTGGGTGAAGGCTTGGGTTGATATACACGATACTTCCTAGGTGAAGTCCCCCTCGTTTGCTCTTCGTTGTTTGCCTCTGACGTAGCGATAGCCTCGTGTCTCACAAAGACGCGGCAGTCAAATGGACTGGGCCCTCCAACACCGCGTACCAGAACTCTCTAACTTTCCTGCTGACATTCTTTTTTGTCATCACTCCTGCAAAACAAGTCGTTATTATTGATGCAAGTATCTAATATGACGTGGGTGCTAGAGGGGCGGTTAGCATTGCAAACGGAAGAGCATCGGTAAGGGCGGATTAGGGTTCTCTGTCCTGCCTCGTCTCAACTATCCCGTCCCATTAGCCATCGGATTGCCCACCGTTTGTCCCACCGTTTGATCTTGCTTCCCAAGCCAGTTACATCACCTCTCAGTTACAGATGTGCGGCTGAAGGAAGTTCTTGATGTGAAGCTGAACAGCAGTAGGTGAAGCACTCTTTGCGGCCCGGTTTCCTTCTCCGAGGCTGACTTCTGATATCCCATCGCACTACAAACCTTCTACACGGCATCAAATATGCCAGCCGTCACATTCCACCTTCTTGGGGCCTCACATAAATGCAAATGAACATTGAAGGTATAGATCGTCAGCCGGGCTACACATCCGAACGATCCGCTCGCTCGGCAGCTACAGCCGAGCCCTGACTGCGGGAACTACTTCCGAACCAGCTCAAAGCATTTATATACTTCCAAAACAGTTTCGGCCTGCCTCATCGCTCACTTACCAGCCCACATCCCAGTCATCAAAGCAGAAGTGAGTTCTCGCACAATCCGCCGAAGAACTTGCTAATCCCGGGTATCAAAAAAATGACAGTGTCGAACAAGCTTGTCCCTCTCACCGTCATCAAGGGCGCTGGCCACGAGTTCATCCCCCTCCCCGCGGGCCAGAACGCCACGACGGCCGATTTCCACTCCATCCGCACCCAGACCACCGACTCCCCGTCCTACTTTACCTCGGGGTTCTACAAGATCGAGGCTGGCCCTCACCGACCCGCGCACTATGCCTTCGAGGAGACAAAGTATGTCTTGAGTGGGCAGATCGATGTTTTGGTATGCTCCAGCCACTTCTCTCAACTGCCTTTCTTCTATCCTGTGGCTCTGGGACAATGGAAACTGAGTATGGCGGATGATGCGCAGGACGAGGCAACCGGAATCACCCACCATCTCGTCCCCGGTGACTTTGCGTTCTTCCACGTGGGGTCGAAAGTTCAGGTAAGATAAAAAGCCCCTTAGGGTCATGGAAAGGACGTTCCCGTCCGATAAAACAGCGGCACGAGCTAATCATCGTTGTTTTCTTGAATTATCCTTTAGTTCTCGACTAAGTCCCAAGGATTCGCCTTTTATGCTGTCACTCGACCCGTTCGGTCCCCGCACCCTAAACTTGTCGGACGAGAGGAGGATAAAGCCCGCCTAAGAGGGGGGAAATATCAAGAGGAGTTATTTTCAGATCGTGTATAGATAGGTCTTGTACATTTGACCCGTTCTTGAATTCGTCGTGGTTTCATGTCAGCGGAATAAATTGTCTATGAGTCTCTCGATCTTCATTATTATATCCACGATCTCCCACCCCCTCTCGCAGGTGTCGTCAATGTTGATAACTCCATCCTCAAGAGACCAGACAGAATAGGGGAGACTTTCCTGTCTCCATTTCTAGAGGAGACTACTTACTCACAAAACATAAGGAGGGTAACAGGGGGTCAGGTAAGAATGGAATAGTTATCCAAGTGCTTACACTCTATAGCTAAACATAATGAAGCAGTCTTTTCCAAGTGACAGACCTGCCGTTATCTATATGTCACAATCAGCTCTATTCACTAATCCGTTGACTTTCCGGGAGATTTCTACAGGCCCCTCGTCTTCTTCTTCCCTAGAACATCCTCTGATGTCTCTCGTTCCTCCAGCCTGCTAGCCTAACAGACATTCTGAACAAAAGAGATTCTCAGCTCTCATCTAACAGATGGTAGCTCTATAGCCATTATATCCAGGATGTTTGGGAGAGTAGTATTTTTATGCGCATTTCACCTGCTGGAACTCCTTCATCTCTATATTGTTTGTATTTTTCAATCCAGAGACTCGCTGCCAGACCGAAAGAAAAGGATGCTTGCTCTTCTCGAATGTCTGTCGAGACTGAGATAGTTGATCAAGTCACCCAAGCACGCTGACATTTTTTTCTTGTGATCATATAGCTCTAACGACTGCAATTCGTGATCTAACAGCTGGCAAGGGTTAATTTGCTCAATGGCACTATCGGATACAGGTGTATGACCTCGAGAGTACCGACGCTTATCCATGGTCATCATGCACAGCTCCGTACCCGGGTCACTTCCAATCGTTCCACGTGATGTTATTGAACAATCAACTTGTTACTTTGAGTCTCTATTAGAGTGGAGATCGGTATGATGATGGGGAGACCATCAAGCTGCAGACGTCCTACACCGTCCCGTCTTCACTTTAGCTGGCAATGAGCGGCCGGCCATGTCTGTTTCTCACCTCCACCCCTAAATGGCACTGGCGTCTGTTTTCAAGACTCCACTCTTCGTGGTTTAAATTCGATCGTCCTTATCTACATCTATCACGGGTACCGATGGAAGGCACCATAGACATCGTGCCAGAGGCGAAACATGTGGGGAGCAGAGTGCGCCCCATTTATGTTTTCGAAACAATGATAGCGCGGCCTGGGTCTGTTCTTCCTTGGCCCTCCGATACGGAACGGCTTCGAGAGCTACCTGATGCTATTCAAAACTCTCGACATTATGAGGGTTACGGAATTGTGATCGAGCTGTCATCTCATCTAGCCACTATACCGCTGTTGAGTTTGACTCGGCCAATCGTCTATCCCCGTAACTTGTTCGAAGCGACGACTCCCTTTTTGCCAGGGAAGTTGCCTGTTCCAGATCTAGGAATGAACTAACCCCGCCTTTTTCCTACCTTCAAGATGGTTCAACGGTTATGGAGCTATCAAAAAATCCGCAGACGTGCCGCTCCAGTGGAACAAAGCCACCCAACCTCTCAGTTTGCACTTTACAATATTCATACATGCCCGTGTGTCCGTGTTGAGGAATATTGGCCACCCTTCTGCATTTATGCTTTCCGACGCGCTGCTTTTGAAAGATCATCGGGTATCCAAATGCCAAGCAGCGCAGCGACAAAGCCCATGACGATTTGGACTCCACGGCTGCCATTCGTGAAATGTCGTATTGCCGGTGGACAAGCAGTTGTTTTCTAGGCACACGACTTCTATGGTTCCAGGGCCTCGGTCAACTGGACCTAAGATTTTCCCCTCTCTTCATGTTGATCAAGATGGTTGGCACATCTGTGGTGGAGAAGGTATAATTTAGTCACTTAGGAGGGTATCCAATAGCTACAAATAGATGTCTTGTTACCTGAGAAATAACGAGTAAGGGTCTGCGGGGAAGTGTGTGCACCAAGGTCCAGAAGTAACCAGGCAGCCACGTTTCTGTCGTGGTCGGGGTAACGGGATGGCGGCTTCCGTACCCTATGTTACCGCCAGCCGTAGAACCTAGACTGGTCCAAAGGCCGTTGTTGAATCCTAGTAACATTGACTGGGCTTTGTCGACCACCAAATGTGGCCCTGCATTGCTAGCCTATTAACACGTCATCTCGCACCTCGGCCAATACATTGGTTGCTACCTGATTTGGGCACAGAGAAGAAACATGGTGCGCAGTGCCCAGTGATGCAGTACAATATCCAAATTCGGTTAGTGCCTTCGATACCCTAGCAAAGAGCTGATGCGATCAGTAGTAACTCAATGTACTGTACCCATATCGATAGACTTGGGCTACTCGGTCATATGAGCGGGCTGCACTGATAAGAGAGCCTGTCAGATGCGAAGAGGGACAGTCATGGTGGCGTGAATGGAGCAGAGGGCTAAGGCATTAGAGTGTGGAAGTCCCCCGATTGACGTTTCTATAAAGGTAGATACTGTTCCCTAGCTTACTAGCCAACCCCAATCGTTCGCTTTCTATCAAGCCTGAAGTAAGGACGTCTTGATTAATTGCCTGTTCCTAGTTACCAAGTCGTCCACAATGCCCACCGAATTTTGGTAAGACCATCCAGAGACATAACTATATTTGCCGGATCAAAATGATTACAGCAGTACTAACGGTCTCCTCAAAAGTCCCACCTATGCAGTAAGAGCTCTCTTCCTCTCTATGAATCACCAAGTCCCCATTATGGATGACCCAACATCAGTGGTATTGACTCTATCTGTGCACGACAGCCGTTCTTCGGAGCCCTAGGGTGCACCAGTGCCATCGTCTTCACTGCCTGTGGGGCAGCTTACGGAACGGCGAAAGCTGGCGTCGGAGTCTGCTCCTCGGGAGTCCTCCGTCCTGATTTGATAGTTAAGAGTAAGTTCTGCGAGACAAAACGCTCGTTTTTGATTTCTGAAATTATTGGCCAGACATCGTGCCTATCGTCATGGCTGGTATCCTCGGGGTCTATGGCTTGGTGGTTTCAGTCCTGATCGCGAACAACCTCTCCCAAGAAGTGGCCCTCTACACCAGTCTCCTCCAGATGGGTGCTGGCCTTGCGGTTGGGCTGTGTGGATTAGCGGCGGGGTAAGTGCAGCAGGGACCCAGGATGCTTTCCGAGAAGTTTCTCCCGGTGTGTTGAGACTAATGCAGACGCACTCGTTAGCTTTGCAATCGGGATTGTCGGAGACGCGGGCGTGAGGGGAACAGCCCAGCAACCGCGACTTTATGTTGGCATGATCCTTATCTTGATCTTCGCCGAGGTCTTGGGTAAGTCAGACCAGGATTGTCTCGTTCCGGTGTCACGTCATGTATGGCGAAGGAAGCTGATGCAGTAAGATAGGCTTGTATGGCTTGATTGTCGCTCTCCTGATGAACTCCAGAGCGAGTGTTACAGATTTCAAATGTAGCTGATTATATTCTTGCTGCCTTGTGATGGAAGGAGGAAGGAGAAACTTGGGAGCAGCATCACTAACAAATCCATCTCTCGCTTCCTCCCCACATATTCATCGCAACAACGGGACACTTAGCTTGCTTTCACAATCAAAGCTCTTTCACATCACTGGAGGCAGAACCTCAGCTACTCACAGCACCCTGCCATCTTGCCTCCTTTCATAATTTGATAAAATAAACAATGAGCAGGGCTTGTTGAACGACAATTCTGTGGACCTTGTAAAAGAGCGCTTTTCTTTCCATGGAAAGATTTACTCCTGCATTAACATGTTCTCAACATCTATATCCTCCAACAAGTCGGTATGTTCCTTTTTCAGTGCCTTAGGATCATTCGTCTCGAACCAAAATGCCCATGTACTACGAGTATTGATATCGAGGTTGTCACGGCTCGACTTCAATCCTACGTGTTGAAGCTGGGGCGGAGCCAACGCGTAACGGGTACGTTGGGTTTGATCCGCATATTCTTCTATGAGCGAGTCCGTTTGCCCATGTCCTCTGGCGCTCAAGAATGCGATCAGCCCGTCCACCTGTTGGCTGGGGAATACCAAGCCCTGGGTACAACATCCCGACTTATTCATTTCAACAACCCCGTGTAGTGGGCTCAAGCTGTATTTCCCAAACATGTAGATGAGCGCAGTGAAAGCGGGAACACAGACCACAGAGATCACCATAATGCTCATGAAATCGAGACGAAGACGTAGTTGCGGGAAGTAGTGAGCAGGGCGTCGACGAAGGAGGACCAGAACCGCAAAGGCGGAGAGCATCAGGACGCCAAAGACGAGTGGCATATGTCTGTATGCCCAGTCTGAGTCACTCCAGCTCAATGCTGTTTCCGTGTAGAAGAGGCGCAGGTAGATCCAAGAACTCTGATGATGTTCTCGCCGTCGCTGTGCTTCCTCCAGCCGGGCAATGTCCGTCAGCGCCTTAACAGTCTTCGAGAACCATCCGGTGGCAAGAATAATATCGTCCTCGAAGATGATGATGTACGAAGCATTGATCTTTTGACAAGACTGCAATGCGTATATGTAGTCACTTTACCAAAGCAGTTAGCGTTGTGTTTTCTTTCTTTTGTGTCTTCTTTTTTTTATTTTTTCTTCTGTCTCTCCCTCTCTCTTTGTACGAGAGGTAGAGCATCTTGTCACTTCAGACGGCTCACGGAACATATATTCCAATTACGAGGGACATAGAGGGTAAGAGAACTTACAAGACCCCTTTTTCATAAAAATTCCGTTCTGTCTCCAGATATTGCAAATGCACCAGTTCTGCTTCCGACACATTATAGGTTTCGGCTGAATCCACGAGTCGATCCACCCATCTCTGACCCCAACTGGGATGTACTCTGGGATCGGTGTCGGCAAAGAGAACCCTGAGATACAAAGCTCGACGTTCTTTCTCATCTAATCCTTCCAATAGTGACCCAACAGAGGCTTCGAAATAGTGGTCCAAGTCCCGCCGAACAGTTACAATGGCTGCACAAACCGAAGGAGTTGAACCACCCTTCACATAGTCAGGTGACTTAGAGTCCGAATTGTGCCGTGAGATAAAATGCCAAGCCTCGCGCTCACGGTAGAGGCTGTAACCCATATCATACACATGGTCTTCCTGGAAGAAAGCGGAGTGGGGATCACGCCAGAACTTGACTCGGCCATACTGAAACAGCAGAAGCCAAACTAAAAAGCAGGCAAGAAAAATTCTCGAGGCGCGCAGGTTGAGGCAATAAGCGAGCTGGGCGAGAAATGCACTAGCGACTCTTCGCACAGGCGCGGTGGACATGATTGCGATTGATGGGATTTAAAATGAGTGTGCGAGGTTGGGCGGTGGCAGGATGGGTCGAAAGCAGGGAGTTCGAATAGTATATTGCATCTGACACAGACGGTATTTGTCCGTGGAGTCTACTAGGAATCAGGGATGGCGGATGGCGGATGGCGCCGTGGTAAGCATCTTGAGGCCTTCTTAGCTCTCTCAGGGGACAACCCTAAGACAACTTATTGTGTGTATGAACCTCGGGCCGATTGGCTCGACAAGTTAGTTATTCCAAGGTACTCCGTCCAGCACTAATACATCATTTTGGTTTCTCAGGAGTCAGGGTCGAACTTCGCTAGGGCGTGGTGGATCACCACTGGAAGTCGTTCCCCACACCGTGCAGCACTAAAGCATGCAGCTCCACTGGGCTGTCTAATCAGCTCTGAGCTGACCCATCACCCAGCGGAAGCGAATGTCCGAGATGAGACATACATCTATAGCGACGCAGTAGTGGTGCCCAGACTCAGGGTACATGATTAGTCATTGACTAATCACCGATGTCCTCGACCATTTACATTTTAGTCATGTTCCAAGGCCCCTAACTAACTAATTGACTAGACTTAGAATAACAAACGCAGTACTTGGCGCACACTGCCCTTTTTTGTTGACTGGCCGCGTTCCATACGCCATGAGACCAGTTGTCTAGTCTAATCCCCAGGAAGGTCCTTTTGTCAAAGCCTTTGCACCCGCCGTATCCGCCAGCCGGCTTTCCGGGGAGATACGGTAGAGGCTCATTCTATGAATACAATTTCAGACCACCCAATCCCGATATCCATAGAATATTGTTTCACCACGTAGCCCTCGGTCCCGACTTGGCCATTCAGAGTTGTAGCACCAAAGCATCATACCATAAAATATCGAGCTATACATCAGCGATATTTTCTAGAAGGAAATCCTAGGATAGCAACTCCAGACTATAAGGCATCAGGAAGTTCGAGGAAGATAAAACAGAAGGCGGCCGGCATGATGAGAAAACGAGCTGTCGGGAATTCGGCTTCGTATGCTAAGGATCAGGTAAGTAAGTGCACGATGATGGAAGCTGCGTTTGTGATCACTAGGGTTCTTCCGTACCCTGTCAGTCAACAACACTCGATCTTCCGAACTTCATCCATTCGACCCAGTCTTCATCATACAACTCGAGCATTCCCTGCTCGTCTCAGCCGTATGCAAGCTTGTTTAGCGCATGGGTATGGCTTAGACATTTCATATATTCCTTTTGCTAGAAATATGTCATCCTTACATGTTAGCTCCCTTCCGTCTCGCTTTGTTATCGATTTCGCACTTCACTGTACTGGATATCATTTGCCGTGTCATAAAGCAGAACAACTTTCTCTCAGCCAATTCACATTAATGTTACGTGCAATCGTTACATGTGGAACCCGAATTGAAACCCTTGAATCTATCTTTGCCGAGGCCATCGTGCTCATGAAAATCAATCGACCACGTACTAGCTTCAAAATCTCAACTGCTAGCTACTCTGACCCACTCCCGCACTGAATTGGCTCCTGATTCAGAGTCCTTGATCCCAATCTATGAGCAATTGATTTGAGGTTTTCGACTGTGTGCTACGAGTCATAAAGCTTATCCCGACCCCGAGCAGTTATAATCAGCATATGATAAGTGACCGTTTCGCTAGTGCCAGATGGGTATTGTTTCAATGCTCTGCGCAGGGTCATACTTGACCATTGCACTCTTGCGGTTAGTGGGTGACGTCTAGTTCGAGTCGCATAGACTGTGGTATGAGACCTTCTAGACAATCTTTGGTAGGCTCGGCGCTCTTCGGATGGCTAAGATGATATTAGCCGCAAGTCAACTATCTAGCATTTCAATTCCACGCTAATTTCCATGACTGCCTGGCTCTATTGAGTGCTCGGAACTCTCTCACTTGTTGAATCACTGAATTGCAAGGTGTGATTCAATATCTTGTGAGAGCAAACTCATCAACATTCAATAGAGATCCAGAGAGCTTACAAAAGTCCATCGGTAGACAGTCGGGAATTTATGTCAACCGTGAGGATTCACTGAATCTATCTCTATCCTCGACACCTCATACTAACTCCGGTCTTGCCACTTGACCCTTGAATGAATAGTGGGGATAGAGTATTTGGACTCCTGACAGTAAGTTTATTGGATAGGGCGTCTACACAACCCTGGTGCTGACGGAGTAGCGCAGGTGCACTAGCTTGCTACGAGACTTTCTAATGCAACATCGAACAAGGGTGGTTCACACTTTCCCTTGGCTACATTCTTGTCTTTTGTCCAGAAATGAGTACCAAAGTGTCCGAGTGAAAGGTATAAATTGACCATCCTTTCCCTCGAAAATGCGATATCCTCTTCTACTTACCAGCACGGGTCTAATTAACAATCTCAGATCTTCTCCTTCTCTACTTTGAAACCTCTCTCAAGATCCAACGAAGATGAGACTTATCACCTTTCTTCCTACGCTCGCGGCCTTCTATCTTGTACGCGTTCCATCATCTATACTTTATTGCATATCTCTAATAGAACCTTTAGGCCCATGGACTTGAAGCTCCTCTCCCAGGTTATGGTGTAGAGGAGTTTTCTTGGGAAATGGAAACCAGCCCTGGGGGTCCCACCGTGATCCTCAGCGGCACTGTACAGGAGATTTATGCCGAGCTGATCAAGATCAACCCAACTTACGATGGAGACTTTGCTGAGCTGGCAGCGAACAACACTCTCGCCGCTGAGAACCACGTCGATACTTCTTCTTCTTCTTCTCTGCATAAACGTAATGACGTTACATGCAACAACTACCCACAGGCCATTCGCCGCCGAATTGAGGAGGGCATCTCGTATCTCCGCGGCGTCAGTGGCCAGCCCCGAAATGGTCCCGGCCCAGGAAACTGTGGTCGAGTGAGCTGCTCGTACAACTCCGCCATTTGGTGGTGCAATGATGTGAGTATTCCCTTCTCCCAGAATGGATGTCATCCCGAGGAGAGAATTCACCAGTACTGAATCAATGGAAAATGTGATAGAACACCGCGCCGAAGACCCTCCCCAGCTTCAATAACATCGCCGACGGCGCTCAGGTCGTCATCAACCAGTGTGATCCGACCGGCGTTTATGTCTCCGGCGAGGAAAATCATGCCGACAAGTGGAGAGCTCTTGTCCGCTCTAATGCGTGCTAGGGATATGCTCCCCTCGAATGAAGCCTTTACGGGGCAAAAAATAGATTCTTGATCATTTGCTTTTCAACAAAGCTGGAAGCAGCCCGCTGTTTTTCTGGGGTCTCTCGATTGCCCGTGTATATAGCTGATCGTCATTCACTGCGTTAAACTCTTGTCGCGACAAATGGAAAGTTGTCTACACGTGGATTGCCCAACGCATTTTGACTGTACACATACACCGCACTGCCCATGTAGAAGGATTACTGCCTCAACTAGGGCCGCTTCAAGTCCATATTAATATCTGGGTGAGAATCTCCTGACCGTAGACTGGTATGTACTCTTGGACCTGGAACTAGGTTGAAGCATCTTTGTCGGCGTACAGTACATGGGCCCGGGTCGCCAGGTCACATCATAAGCAAAACATATCAGTACCACATATATATGTAGCGACTTATCTTCACCACTATTTAAATCAATCTTTCAGAACATCAGGTTAGCCTCTTTAGGCCCCATTCCCCAACAAGCTTATTGAACATATATTTTTTCTATTACGTGTGGGAAGCACACTCAACCCGATGATCTAATCCAACGGCGCTTCGTCCTGGCTACTCGACACTAGAAACCCAAACAACAAATGTTTCACTTCCTCAATCAATTTCGTTTATGGCTCTAATGCGGTGTGCTCGCAGCCACCAAATACTGGCCAAGGCAGTGTTCGTTGATATGTGCGGCCTAAGAAGAAAATTCTGATGTTCCTGAAAAATTCATTGGATTGGTGGTGGAGATAACTAGCTACACGTGAACGTGGTGTTTATGCATTTCACACGTCACATGATATCAATACCGATCCATGCCCATATACGCTGACAATATCAAGGGCGCAGGCATTTGAGACACGGAAGCTGCTGGAGAACCGGGCGTCATTTTTGAGTTGGGGTAGATACTGTCCGATTAGATAGAGGCCACGCACTTCCCGAACAGCTATGTTTATCACCAAAAACTTCTACACACCGCGATTCTCTCCCAAACACCAACATCCTTCATAAGGGTTATATGATATAAAGTAAGTACTTACTTTTATATGTAATACTAAACCGGTCTATTACAGCATCTCCGCAAGCCAACATATAGATAAATAAGTGAGCGAGGCCTTGTGTAGCATATACACAGGCAACCGAGCAAGCAAGGCCTTTCACAGTGTACTGTACATACAAGTAAATAAGTCCCTTCACAGCACATATACAAGTAGGTGATTATATGAAAGCATACAAGGCCCAAAAAAGCACCCCTCTACACAATGTAAATCATTAAACAAATTCTATTTATTGATTATAGTTGATTTTCCAAGTTTCCGCAGTATTAAATAATGATCTTACATGTAAGTTGTACATAAAATCAGCAGATGTTCGGGAAGCGCGTGGGCCTATCTAATTCCCCGGCCCGGCCGCGGCCCGTGCCCGCCTACAGAACGGACTAAAGTATGATAGCGGATAAGTTACTCGGGACCGCACCGGTTGGATGGTTCAACATTTAAGGGCCTCCTGAACAGCCTTAAGGTACTTACTGTTTCTACAATAATAAAGTGAGGTTATCTATTAGCTATCATCATGTATTCTAGAGGCAGTGAATTTCAATTCTATACCAGTCAGACCTTTAAAATTTGTACAAAACAGCACCTCTTATAAGACCTTGGATATTGATTAAGAAACAAAGAACAACTTGGTGGTTATATTGTGTAAAAGCTTTGTAAAACAAAAATAGAAGTCAAAAGCTCACCACTGCTAGTAGAACTACTGTTAAATTCTTTTTCATCGGCCTGTAAATAAGTAAAATCTACCGCCACTCAGTTTTGACTGACATATACATACTTAAAATAATCAATCGATCGATCAATCATTCTGGACACTCGGCAAATGGAAATTCTCCCGTGTAGTTATACTACCCGTGTGAAGTGGGTTCGGTTGATTAATTCATTGCTTTCATTTGTAGACTATGAGTATTCTCTGCCCTGGCACTCGATCATTACTTTCCACAACCCTGGCGAAAAGAAGCTGTGTTTGATCATAGGACTGTGGGAAAATCTAAACTCAAGATGTTAACCAATATTTTGTCGGACACTGATAACATGTATGAGATTCCAAGGAGAAATCGATATTGAGATGGTAATCTTGTACATGCGGGGCGATTGTGTTGGTTGCGTTGAAGATTCAGCACACTAGGCAGAACATCTTAGATTATGCTTAATAGCTCCTGTCCTAGAATAAAGTTATAGCTTTGTTCAGCATAGGTCGTATAGCCTTTGGCATTGCGCCCTTTGATACGATCCCGGCTTTCTGGGCGAAATGCCACATGACTCCCATTGCACTGGTGGCCGGGTCTAATTCTTCACTCCCTTCTTTATAGTACTGTGCTACCTTATTCATCAAGCGACCCAATCAGGGGGTCCTGATTAGCATTGAGAGCTCACCGCTTCGCGCACCATGGGATGCCTGGCAGTCGACCTCGGAATGCTTCGCCTTACTCGGAATCCACCGTCTTCAACGCTATCATCAAATAATATCTTTTGGACCCTAAGTAAGTCAAAGATTTTTCTGACGGGGGGACCCAAGCAGACAAACATACTCACGCGGACAGATGCATAGAAAAGCATATAAAGACCCAAAGATTCACCTCGTGACGCGAAAAGCTTCATATCAAACCAACCACCATCACCACCATAGCAACCACAACAATGATAATGCCCTCCCTTCCCGGCGAACTGATCCTCCAGATCATCGAGTGTCTCATCCCCTCCGCCTCGCGCAAGATACAACCCCCGAGCGACATTGTCACACAGACCTTGGTTAGTCTTACCCTGGCATGCAAACTCACTCACCACCCCGCGCGACGGTTGCTCTTCCAGCACTGTCTCTACATCGACTCGCGGAAGCGACTTGACAAGCTGCTGGGCCGAAGCAGGTACTTTGGGGAAAGCAGCGATACCACTACCAGCGATCAATCCCACCTATCTCCGCCAATCCAGGCCCGCTCGCTCTACCTCGCCCCCTTTCCGCCCAATCAGCTCGATGACCTCCACACAGTACACCAGGTGGACCGACTGCTCTCGCAGGTCGGGCCTACTCTCCGAAAGCTCGTCATCAACATCCCTCTCCGATATCTGTATCCAGAAGACGACGTGCAGGGCCTCCGCGCGATCCTCCGCGCCGCGTTCTCCCGCCTCCCCGCGCTGGAGGATTTCTGCTCCGTCCAGGACGAGCTCTACCTGAAAGCCTTGCTTGCCGCAGGAGCCGGAAGCGGGGGAATTAATTGAGGACCCCGCCGTATGGCTCACTTGGCCGCGCCTGCGTCGTCTCGCGCTATACAACCCTTGTGTAGAGGGTTATTTCGTGGAGAGTCTACTGCAGTGCTCACCGCATCTCGCGCGGGTGGTCCTCACGCGACCCGATTGTTACATGGGCGAGGCACTGCCCTCGGGAGTCGCGGATCGTCTTCCGTGGCCAGGGCTACGACGAGTTCTGATCGTCAACACCAGGGAGGGCCACCGCCGTGACGCTCGTGTCCGCGACCACTTTCTTCCAGCTGCCCTGGGGCAACCCAGCTTTTGGTCCCGGCTGCACCTCGCTCAGCAGGGTACGAGGTCGATTGTTGAGTCAGGGGAAAGGATGGTCGGAGGGGCACTATTAGCGTACGCGGACGTGCCTGTCTCCCCGGGGCAGGAAGGCGGGGTCAACGATGATATTCCTCTGTCACAGGAGTGGGTTTGCGCTCGCGCAATGGATGGAACATTGTGGGATTGCCCGGGGTTGCCATATACCGAGAATTGTATGTGAAGGGAAGTCCGGGTGCTAAGAGAGGGTTATATGCTTGGTTGTTTGAAGAGGTGGATGGTAAGTCATGATACTGCAGGCAGCAAGGCCTACCAGCCCCAAGCGCAGTCAGCGAAACCGGCCGCAGCACGGAGCAGTCCACCCTCGAGAAACTTTGAACAGGATTATAACAATAAGAATCGGTAGTTAAAATGGCGAACAGCATCCTAGTGAAGAAAGCATGGTCACGATAAATGAATATCTACCAAGTAAAATCATCAATGACGGACGATTCACTGGCTCAGAGTCAGCTTCATTCACACCACCTCCTTCCCGAAGACCTTCACCGGGGCTGTTCAGCTTACATCCTCCAGGAGAACGTCATCTCCGATTTTCATGTCTTCTTCCTACCCGTCATTCCCACCCTCGCCCTCATCGAGATCGTGTACAAACAAGACCTCTATCTTGGTTCAAAGTATTATACCAACACTAACGTACTGATCCCGGCCGATGGTGGCAGGGAGGCTTCGCCTTGCATTAGTCACGCGTTGATTAATTCTTTTTTTACCCTCGCTCGAAAGCATGCGTTCATCCTACTTAGCTACGTATCTTCAATCAACCGAGCTGCTTCAATTTACGAACCGTTCCTCCTTCCGTCTTTCGAAGGTTTTAGTCACACTCGGACGAGAATTTTGTCGGGCTACCACAACCGAGTCCACAAGCTGAGACCATCCGTTCCGCCATCAGCTTTGCTGGCAATGACCGGCCAGGATCCACCTCAGACATACCGAGGATCAATCGAGCTATCGACACACTCCAAAAACGCTTACAGCAGCGTGGTGATGTGAGCCAATAAGTCTCCTTCAAGCACGTGTCGGCCGAGGATTTCAGTTTTTTGGAGGAGATTCGTGATCAGTCACGGGGCGCGGTCAGTTTTCACCTACCTCCGGGACATCGAAACTCTCATCATCAAAGTCCCGACAATTAAAACTGAAATCGGGAACCGGGGGTTTGATCAGATAATCTCAATCCAGCTTGCCACGAGCATGGGCATCAGATTTAGCGAATTGATGCCCTAGGGGCGACGAAGTACGTGGGCCCAACAGCTTCACAGAAAGAAGGGGATAATGGATTCAAGAATCGACTGCTACGACCACGCCAGGCGGATTGGCCATACCTTGTCATAGAAAAGTGGAGTCATTGCCTCGGCTGCATTAAGAGACATCATGGTTGGATCAGTAATTCAGGGGGTGCAGGTGCTTCTTGTTCTGCACTTGGAAGTCTCGCGAGTAGAACGGACAATCATAATCGAGAAATACTTCCCGCAGCGACGTGACTTTTCCGGATGCGAGGGCAGCCAGCCCTAACTTCATCCCGGAGCCTATCTCCACTACAGCTGTGAATTTGGGGTTCTCAACTCCATCTGTTCAAGGGGCCATTGTTGTTCTTGAATTTAGCAGGCTAATAGGTAGACAGCCTGTCCCCTCAGAGCAAGATATGATTCTACCTCCTGCTGTGTTGATCGAGATCGGCATTGGAATTTTCCATGATCGACATTGGTCGTGTCTGGTGTGACGTTCAGCCGGTCTTCGTGGACTTGTGAGATGTTAGTTGCTGCTTACCGCTGAGAAAACGAGGCTCATCGAGATGCGCATAAGATTGGAATTGGAAGCTGGATGGCCGCAAGACCCGAGGTAGAATGGCAGGCATTCTACATTGCCCGCAGCCACTACGATAAGCTTACCTGGCTGAAGGGAACAACTGCAGAGATGATCTTGCACGCACGGAGGAGCGACGTTGTTGGTGATATGCTGGTTGACGGAGACAAGGGCACTCCAGCCCTGCAGCTCCTCAGCCCCTGAATCCATCCCCCTCATGTAATGGCCTAGTGATAGACGCTTGCGAGCTAGAAGAACTAAGCAGCTTGGATAACTACCAGAACGCCGTCGGAACCCACTTTATCCAAACATTCAGAACGTCGATCCGAACGTCGATCCGAAATAGAACGATGAGAACAACGACTATATTTCCCTCCCACCGTGGCACCAGGACAACCAGATCGATGGTTCAAATAAAAACGATCAGGAGCACGAAAATCGGAACGATGGTCGAAACGTTGTTTTGAACATCCCACCGGCAACAGCAGCAGTGATTAACTTGCAGGATGGCGGCTACCCACTATTCCCGGTACACATTCTCAAGAACATCAGAGTTCCGAAAGCTTATGGTAAATTTACGTCAGACATGGTCTGTCACCACAAGACATGCACCCACCACACAAAAACGCCAGGCACGAAGCTCAGTGACGCATGGGCCCTACTGGCTATTCAGGAATCATCACAGGTACACACCACACCTACACGCCACACACGCCACACACGCCACACACTCCTTTTCATTGTCAGTTGCTGACCTCTCAACCTTAAACCTTGAACTCAGCAAAATAGCTTCGAGGAGTTCAGAACGCAGCGCGTCCACCGCAGCGCGGGTTACCGCCCGACTCAACCAATATCAGCCGAGAGGAGATGATGATGATACCGCTCATTTTCTGCAAGTTGTGTACATGTATCTTCCTATGGACGGGAGAAACATATTAGCAAGCAATATTGTCAGCCGCAACGATACTGAGCTAATTCAGTTCCAAAAGTCCATCGAAGCAGCTCTTCTCAGCCAAGCGAAAGATACCTAGTTACAGTACCCCGCAGACTTTCGACCAGCCGGGAAAACCTTCGACAGACAAGAGCGCCGTCAGGAGACGTCTACCTTCATTTTCCACGCACACGGAAAACTACTTCTTTCTCGTCTACCGCAAATCACACGTCCTCTGTGGTGAATCCAGTCATCGCCACAAGATATAGTGACTCAAGTCCCAAAGATCCATAACTGAGAAAGGCAGTCACCCTCAATACCGCAGGAAGATAGAGCCCCAGCCCTTGCTACAACCACCAACATGCAACCCCCCTACATCCTCCCTGCATCAACGCAACTAGCCATGACAGACCAGTACCCACCCCGACCATTCCAGTCCCTCCAAGCCTGCAGCCAGGCCCTCCACACCCTCCGCAACCATCTATATGCTGAAGGCAACGACGACCTCGTCAGCGAATACCTCGCCTTCCAACCCATCCCACCCGAAACCCTCCCCTCCCTCACCGACGAGGAGAACCGGCGCGCCCTCCTCGGCACCGTCCGAATCACCTTCTTCCCCGACATCGCAACCCTCCTCCTCAAAATCCCCACGACCGCCTGCGAAAAGGCCCATCGCAGCGTCGCCGAGGAGACCGTGGCCGCGCTCGCAGGGATGGGGGTCAGCATCGCGGAGCGCGCACCCACGGGGGCCGCGACGTACACGGCGCCCTCGCCCTCGCCCTCGCCCGCGAGGTCCGGGTCCGGGTCCGGGTCCGTGAAGGAAGCGGACTCGTCCTACCGGAATGGGCTGCTGGACGCGGACTGGCCGCAGTTTGTGATGGAGGCGGCCACCGACTCGGAGGAGTCGGCGAGGCGGCTGGACCAGGCTGCGGCGTGGTGGGTGGGCTGTTCGGGTGGGCGGGTGCGCGTGGTCGTGCTGCTGCGGGTGGCGCGGGCGAGGAAGGCGCTCACCGTCGAGAAGTATTTTCCGCGGCGGCAGTGGCAGTGGCAGCGTCAACGAGAGCTAGAAACTGAAAAGACGCCGCCACCGAGGTTTGTCCCGGGGTTGATCGCGAGGACGGAGGTCGATGTCGGGGTTGCGCCTCCCTGTGTGCGCGGGCCGCCGGTTGTTCTGGAGTTCGACCGGGTGGTCGGTAGGCCGCCGGTCGCCCCCGAGCAGGATGTGATCTTGGGGCATGCGAAGTTGGTCGAACTCGCTCTCATGGTCTTTAAATGACCTGCTGTTGTGTACAAGAATGAATTTGCGATATGTCCGGAGAGTTTCTTTGGCGGTTTGTCAAGTCACCTACTTAATTCTTGGAGCCCTGTTGCTCTACACCTTTTCTTACTCAATCATCATTCATCTATTTATCAAAGGAATGAACTTCTCATCAAGCTCTCTCACTTCATTTGATCTAGTACCAGACTTGAATGACTCTGTACTCCAAGATATGTCTCCCGGAATACATATCAGACAAGCCACCTTAACGGCTCCGGACGAGAGTGTCAAAAGAGGTCAAATCTTCCCATTCATTCCTCTGGAATTGTCAGAGCGCTACCAGTGTACTAGACGGCATATCACATATTCTGAGCTAAAGAGCCAATACACATATCCCCGCCTACAAGCACTGCGAGTAATAATCATTCTGCTTAGTGCAGGTCGACCCACTAGCGCAGGTCGTCGCCCCAGTCCATCCAATGCCACCGCACTGGCCGTAAAGAGGCGCCACGGCAGTGGAGGTAGAAGTAGCGGCGGTAGTCGTCTTGGTGCTAGTGGTGGTCTTGGTGGTAGTGGCAGTGCTCGTCGTGGAGGCCTTGGTGGTCGTGGTGGTGGCAACAGCGGTCGTCGTCGTCGTCGTTCCCGAAGAACCACCGGGCACATAGCTCTGCAGCAGGGAAAGATAGTAGGTGTAGGCGGTGCCTGTTGTCGGCTCCATGTTAAAGATATAGGTGCCCCACCAGGGTCCGGCGGACCACCACAGCGCGCCCAGCCACACGTCACTGGCGGCGCTGAGCGCGTCCAGCATCCCTTTGACGGCTGTCAGACACTGGCTGTTGGCGCCGCCGGCGAACTCGCCCAGGACCGCGCGCTTGCCGTTCTGGCGCAGCCAGGTGGTGGCGGCGGCGACGCGCTCGGCGCCGATCGTGGTGCTCACGCAGTCCGCGCTCGTGCCGGACCCATCGCTGTCGAGGTACTGGTGCATCTCGTAGATGATCTTGTCTGAGGGGTCGGTCAGGTTGACGAGGTTGGTGTTGTAGGTCGTCCAGGTCCAGGCGCCGCTGTAGGAGTTGCCCTCCACGAAGATGTACTGGCTGGTCGCGCCAGCAGCACGGATGGCATTGATCGCTGCCTGGTTGAGGTTGAAGACAAGGGTCTGGTCTTCGTCATGATACTCGTTATCTGCGCGATACTTGTTAGTCCGTAAACGTGCAGAGAGACCGAAGGAGACGTACTGGTATCGAAGATGACATGGTCGTTTGACGCGAACACCTTAGCAACAGTGGTCCAGAATGCGGCAAAGTCGGACGTAGACGTGATGATGTTTCCATAGCTAACAAGCATGTCTCAGTTAGAACCCTGGGAGAATCAGGAAAGGCTCGCTCACTATCGTCCAAAGTTATGGGGGTCAACGACCGCGTAGGCTCCGAGGCTGGTGATTGACTCGATAGTCTGATCACAGAGGTCAGTATGATGTAGAGAATTCAGCCAGAATGCTAGAACATACGGCCTTGAGATCCGCCAGGTAGGTGGCATCGGCCGTCCCGGTCAATGAAGTCGGAATCAGGCGCTCCATCATGAACGGAACGCGGAAGATATTCATGCCCGCATTCACCAAGACCTGGATCTTACTCGCGTCAGGCCAGATGTAATCCGTTCCCAGAACACCGGGGATGTTGGCCTGGCCAAACTCTGCGCCAGACTCATTACTACCAAGCCCTATCTGCAGTCAGTACAGGTCTCTCAGACGTAGGAGCTGAAGGATGGACGGTGGCCCGTACAGAGAAAATTGGAGGAGCGTTTGGCCTGAGGGGCCGCCCACACCTGGGAGAGAAGCAGTGCCAATACGGTGAACTTCATGGTGTCCAAAGCGCCGGTGCTGATGCTGGATTGCTACTGTCCTTTCTTCTATCCCATCGAGCTTCACCACCTCAACTTATACCCCGAAGACGGGGGCCATATTGCCCAACCCGACCCCTGAAGCACAACAACAAGAACGAGCGACATCGACTCCGCTGCTCACGAAGACGGCCTCTCGGGCCGTCAGCCGCTGTCGATGACACACACACACACACACGCACAGTGTGGAGCAGCAGTGACAGCGACCCCAGACCCCAGACCCCAAGCTCCGAAGAAAACGCGGAGACAAATCCGTCACGGCAATTTCTTGTCCCGCACAGACCATCATTTCCCAGTGGTGTGGTGCCTGAGCCCCACTGCAGAACAGTGACGGATTAGGCATGCCTTTGCCGATCCGGAATGGTGCGAGGGGGGGGGGGGGGGGGGGGGGGGGGGGGGCAGACCAGGACTAAGGACTGGCAGTTCGTCTGACCTCGCTTAATGCCGAGTGATATAGGGCGTGAGAGGCAGGCCACCGCGTCCGTGCCAACCCCGGGATTGCACGAGGAAGGCCCAAGAAACAGAGTTCGTGATGCGGAGAATATCCCGTCCACCCACGTTGCTTGGCGCTGCAGGCTCCGGGGGTCATTGTTCCTTTTCCCGGCAGGAAGCCCACCGGCGCTAATGCACGCGCTTGGCGTTGGGTAGCATGGGGGAATTCACTGCCGAAACGTCGGTGGCGTGGTCAGGTGCCCCTGAGGAATCGTCGGCACTATTCCATTGTTTGAGGGGGATCGTGGTGCTTGCGTAACATCCTGGCGGAAATTGGGTGGCCAGGACTTTGTGACTGGTCTAGTTCACCAGATGTATGAGACCCTCAAGCACCCTTTGGGATTATTCGAGAATAGGAAGGACATGGACACACAGTCTTGAGGATTTCAGATCATTTCACAATGGTGATTGGGCCAGCCAAAATATTATCTGGGACAGGTGAAATAGAGAAGGAAGACATAGATTCGTATTATCAAGCCGTCTGAATGACTATACCAGATAACTTGAAGTCGTAGCGACGATTAAAAAGACTTGGTTGGATAGGGATAGCAGGAGAAGAGAGAGGGAGAGATCGATCGATCAGCGCAATTAGTGGGGGGGATCAGGCGAGGAGCACATGACCGTGCGGGGTTGAGTTTCTTCGGCGGCTCTTCTGCACCTCTGCAATCTTGCAATCCTGCATAACTTTGTTCCTGACAATCCCAGCTACAGGCTCACTACCTTACTGGTTACTGCTACTGTTCATCTCATGCATCAAAAAAACAGCCTTTCATTTGCTAGACTAGTGCTAAGCTTGGAGATCCTGCCGGAAGTAACAAATTGCCATCATACTTTCTCCCTTCTTGTCATTCCTTGTCATTCTCCCTCTCTCGTCGAGAACATCTCAATGGCTATCTTCCCCCCTACAGGCACTGCGAGTAGAAGTCATTCTGCTTGGTGCAAGTGCCGCTGGCGCAGGTGGTGGGGCCAGTCCATCCCTGTCCACCGCACTGTCCGTACAGCTGGGCAACATTCGTGGACGAGCTCGAGGTGGTGGACGTCTTGGAAGTGGTGGTGGTGGTCTTGGAGCTGGTGGTGGTGGTCTTGGAGCTAGTGGTGGTGGTCGAGGCCTTGGTAGTCAAGGTGGTGCTGCTGGAGCTGGAGCCGCCCGAGGTCGAACCGGAGTAGGTCGAGTTGAGGGTACCGAACTTGATGTTGGAGTAGGTGACATACGAGTTCGGGTAGTTGGCCTCAACGTAGGTGGCATTTCCGGTGGTGGTGGGGCAGGTACCGCGGGCGACACCAGGGCTGGTAGCCGAGCTGGTGGTGGGGTAGTCGCTGTCGAGCCAGAGCATGTCGGCGGCGTGGTCATCCCACAGACTGAGCACCAGGACCATGCCATCGCCGAGGGCGTCACCCATGGCAGACAGTCCACCGTGAGTGTCGAAGACGTTGGTGTCGCCGAACAAGGTCTTCTCGGCCTTGCAGAAGCTCTCGGTGATCGAGTTGCCGCTCGCGGCAGTGTAGGTGGAGGGGCCGTTGCCAATCACGACACCGTTCTGCACGTAGAGACGACGGATCTCAGTCAGGGTACCAGTGTCAGTACCATCGTTGGTGATGAACTGCGTCACGACGGTGAAGGGCTTGCTGGTGTCGACGGTCTTTCCGGGACCATAGAAGTTGGTGTTGCCCAGGCGGTAAGGGTTGAAATCACATCCATCAGGATCGCAAGTACCGGAGTAACGGTCGGCAGTGTCACTGTAAGTGCCACCGCAAGAATCGCCCGTACACATGGTCTGCTGGACGGAGTCGCAAGGGTGGGCGGTGAAGGCACTGGAGACGCTGTTCGCCTCCCAGATATCCATCTCAGGGCAGCAGGAGCCGTGGTTACCGGAACCCGCATTGACATCGGTCGAAGATGGCTCCCAGCCCTCAATGTTGGCTTGACCATCGATGAACTTGAGATCCCGAGGACATTGGGAGTCGCAATATCCGGTTCCATACTTGGCGCCAGCCTTGTTCGTCGGGAAGCGGGAAACGCCGCCGTCAGCGTCCATAGAGACGAAGTAGAGGGCGCCGTTCAGTCCGCAGGGGAGGTTGGAGACGTCGACATCGAAAGTGAATTCCCGATTGAGAAGCTTGAAAGTCTCGTAGGTGCTGTCGTCAGCCAGAAGGTACAGACGCGAGCCAATGTTCTTCTGCGACGACGTCGTAACGAAGTTGAGACGGAGCGACGAGCCGCTGGTGGTCACACCATAGGTGCTCGCGTAAGTGGCACCCTCGAGGGCACATTCGGACGCGCAGGTGGTATCGGTGGAGCAGATCGAACTGTCCCAAGTGTTGCCGCTGTAGCAGTTGGTGTAGCCACCAACCTCGTGCACCCAACGCCAATTGGCGTCAATGACCACGCTGCCGCTGGTGGTAGTGCAGCTACCACTGCCGCTGCAGGTTTGCCAGGTCAAGCTGGGGTGCGTTTCAGTGGTGTAAGTGCCGACCTGCTGCGCATTGCTGGTGGCCAGCATGGACAGCAGGAGAGCTGTTTTGTAGATGGAGAAAGAGTCAACCATGGTTGCCAACGGATTGAGGGACGATTGGAGCTTGAAGCTGAAGGAAGATGATGATCGAAGCTGATGATGGCGACACAAACCGTGGGAATGGCATGGCCTTTTATATCTTCTTCATCGCTCATGTCGCTCTGCTGTCTATACAATTCTATAGACAAGATAGATCGTGAAGCTGTTTTCCTCGAGCTCAGTAGAGCACGACGGCTTTCCGGACCGCATCCCGACCGCAATTTCGTAGGCGCTCTGCACAATTAGCCACCTCCGCGTGGTATACCAAGAGCAGAGGCGAAGTGAGTCCGAAATGAAGGGATTAGTTCCTTGACAGGAACGGCAGTCCGCCGCCGGCTAATTGCACTCACGTGGGCGTCAGCTTGGCCGTACGGGGAAGAACCGTCCCCAGATTGGTAACGTATGGGGCGAGAATAGCCGAGGCATGGGCTGATTTTCCCCAGTTTCTGCAGTGTCTGCAGTTTGCTCGCTCCTTGTTCAGGATGAAGTACCGGCCTGAAGAGGCTTGCATGGGCTGTGACATCCCCAGGTGCTGCAGTGTAATTGCCGTATGCAACCCCGTTTAGCCAGGCCAACCACGTGGTCCCCGCCATGGTATGTACGCGAGTGATTCCATATAGTGTATTTGGTCCATTGTGTGCTATGTGGCGCTCGGAGTTGTGTTTCCTAGATGCCGAATGTGAAGAAATCGCGCATACATTGACGAAAGAAAGAGGTTGAGAAAAATCTTGAGATGAAAGATGGAAGATGGAAGATGGAAGAGCTGAGGAAGGTTGTTGTTCATTCATTCATTCTTCTTCCGCCCGGTACGGAGCCTGAAATGTCGGGCATCAACCCCGGCTGCCTAGCGCAATCTAACCTGTCGCCCCAATTCGTCTATCACAAATGATAGGAAATTCCCTCGGAATCATAACTCTTGACATTGAAATGGCCACATTTTCTTCCGACTGACAGATAGAGCTCAAACAAATCCAACGAGCTTTGTTGAGCTTCTCAAAAAATAATCTATATCTAGTCTATCTATAAATGGTCTTCACCTCAAGCACCCACAACTATGTCCAATGGAAACATGTCAAATGCAGAACCAGATTCATCACATGCTTGAATGTCTTACTCCGACCTGGCACTTTGCACCTCCTTACTCCACCACCCGCCATTAGTATATTCAACGAAACATTCAAAATCCCAAGAGTAGTGCCGCAACAACCCCTGCAGTCTCTCTCCTCCATATCGTCACAATGTCAAGAAAAATCACTCCGACCGCGCACTCTTCGTCTTCTTACTCCTCAACTTCATCATCAGAAACACCAATCCGTACGATGTGATGCAGAACAGCGCCGTAATCCCAGTCTACAAGCAACAAGGTCAGTCAATCATTCATCTTCGAGCCAGGGACAGAGACAGAAACTCACATCTCTCCAGGAATAGTACTTCTCCTTCAAGTTGAACGATTTGGCGTAGTCCGCTCCGGTCGAATACTGGCAGAAGGAGCACGAGTCCGTCGCGCTCGCGTCCAGCAGGTAGCCCGTGTTGTTCGCGATGAAGTCTGCCATGTACTGACCGCAGGTCTGGCCAGACGGGGCGCTGAACTGAACGAACTCGGACGCCTTGCATTGGACTTTCACGTCCCAGAGCACTTCGCCCAGGAGACCACCGACGAGGTAGGTGAAGGGGTCCAGGTAATAGATCCAGTAGCGCCAGAAGGGCGTGATCTGGTCGTAGGGCACGACGACACCACAGAAACTGATCATGCCGGCGCCGATGAGAATGGGGTTCATGATGGCGGCGAAGTACTCGTTGGGCGCGTAAGCGGCGATGGCCTGGCCAATCGATGTGTAGAGGAACTCATAGACTGGGTTTGTTTGTTAGCTTAAGCTTGAGGATGACCCGAAAAGGAACTGCGAGAGGTGAAGCATACAGATCATCTGAAGGTAGACATGGCCCGAGATGTAAGCCGAGACGGGGAATCCAGCAGTGAAGTACCAGCATGCGAAGTAAAGTGTGGCGCAGATGATCAAGTACGGGATCTCGGAGACCGTTTGAGCTCCAATGAAGGCCATCCAATGGTAGGTTTTAGACTATTCACTAAAATTAGCGGAGTCAGCTGCAAGAGACGCTCTTGTTACGTACCTTCTTCTCTCGAGTCTCAAAGATATCGCGGTTGTGCAGGAAGAACGGCTGCATCTGATTGATACAGCCCGGGGCAACGAAGATGAAGTTGAAGATCGCAAACAGGCGCAGTTGAAGTGCGAAAGTGCCGTCTCCCATCTTCCAGAAAGTGAAACCACTGAACAAGGCAGCGAACACGTGAAGAATGATCTTGTTCCACATGTAATCCTGCGATCGTTAGCACCGAGCTATCTGACTTTACATCTGAAACATACCGGTGAGCGCCACAACTGAGTCATCAAGCGTTCGAGAACCATCTTGAACTGAAACCAGATGGGGGTGGCGAAGTCACGGTGGTCCTCCTCTCCGGTTGAGTTCGCTTCGGCTTCCTTGTTGAGTGCTTCAAGATCCCGGAGTACGACCTCACGTTCTTCGGACTGGCTCCAGACATCAACCCAATCAATCGGCTTCTCAGTGTTGCCTTGAATCACTTCCACGATGTGCTCAGCAGGGTTCACGTCAGGTGGACAAGGGGCACCGTTCTTCGCAAAGTAATCAAGAACCTTCTGTGAGTCTTCGCCAGTCTCGCCGAAATAGGTCATCTTGCCTCCCTTCGCCAGCAGGACGAGCGAGTCGAAAGCGTCAAACAGAACAGCGGACGGCTGATGAATCGTACACAACACAGCTTGGCCACCATCAACGAGCTTCCTCAAGAATCGGATAATGTTGTAGGCCGATTGCCCGTCCAAGCCCGAGGTTGGCTCATCCAGAAATAACAAGGTCGGTTTGGCCACAAGCTCAACGCCTAGGGTCACTCTCTTGCGCTGCTCAATGCTGAGGCCCGCGCCCGGGACACCGATCAAAGCATCCTTAATATCACTGAGCTCAAGCAAGTCAATGATGTGGTCAACATAGGCGATTTTCTCTTCCCGTGGCACGCTGGCAGGTTGACGCAACAGAGCCGAGAAAACTAAAGCCTCCCTCACAGTAGCCGTGCCCTCGTGGACGTCCATCTGTTCACAGTATCCGGTAGTCCGCTGAAAGCTGATACCTTGAGGTCGTCCGTCAATGAGAATAGATCCGACGATCTCACCGCTGTCCTTCCGCTGAGCAAGCACATCAAGCAATCTGAGATCATATTAGCCAGGTAGATGTAAAAATGGGTAATCATCAAGCTTACGTGGTTTTACCAGCACCCGAACTTCCCATTAGCGCAACCAAGTTACCAGGCTTGACATACCCGAACACCTGGTGCAAGAGCTGCTTCTTCTCTCCGTGAAAGGGAACATAGTAGTCGAGACGATTCCACGTGAAAGTGGACTGCTTACCCGTTTGCGCAAGAGCATTGCCCTCTGACTTGGAAGCACTGGATCCTTCTTCATCGGCTACCTTGGACTTCGCACCTCGTTTGTAAAGGAGCACAGAGGAACCAGATTGGTTGTTGTTCATTTCGAGGCCCAGCGCAGTGAGAAAGATGAAGAATGCCCAGAAACCAACAATGATACCGAAGCTGCGCCAAATGTGGTGGAAGGAATAGCTGTATTGCTCCCGAATGTAAGCAGCCCCATTAATCACACCGTCTGTGCTTCCTTTGACCGTGCAACCACGATTAGACGAGGCACCGGCCGGGTAACCAGATCCGTAAGGGATATAGTCAGGCGCTACACAGTCCAACTCGAGTCCGACAAACTCGTTGGCCATCAGGGCTTCGAACGCATAGGCACCTGGATTGAGGTAGAAGATCCAGCGGAACCAGACGTGCATCTGCTTGAAGGGAATGAGATAGCCTGCGTCTTAGTTAGCTTGGTTCATCGAACGCGAGCTTCCACTGCGTACCTCCGTAGACGAAAAATACTGTCGAAACAAACCCAGTCATCTTCGACGCGTTACCGAACTTCTTACAGAGAGCACCAATTGCTCGGAACATCTGCAGGAAGCACAGCGTTTGAATAACGACGATGATCCAGTAAGTAAAGAAGCGGCCAGCATCCATCCGCAATGCAGCCATGAAGTACAGAATCAACGAGAAGCACGAGACCTGCACCAAGACAATAGGAACATCGGTGATGGCGTTGGCGATCGCGAAGGCTGTTGGCCTGTAAAAACCAAATCTCTTTTGGCGCGAGAGAATCGGCCGACCCGTGAAAGACGCGGTTGTTTCCGACATGGCATCTAGAAGGAAATAGAGAACTGCGAAGAAGAGAGCACCTGGTCGCAAAAATATGGAAGAGCTGTCAAGCTTGAGGTTGTAAAACAGACTACCACAGACAAGAGCTTGAAGAATAGCAGATACCACCTTGATAATAACAGATAGCTTATCACCGGCCAGAATTTGGAACTGACTGAACTAATGTCAGTAGCTAATCAAGGTCCAATCGTTCGACTTCACTCACCGAACTGTGCAGCTGGCGACTTGGTGCCAGAGACCCGCCGTGTAGACGCTCTGCGGCCGAGGGAGATGCTGCTTTCTCTTCTCCATCAGCACTGCATTGGCCAAGTTGATCTCTTCGTCAACCAGCTTCTCTGGTGGCTCGATGTCCTCGAGCATCTGAGAGCAAATTGAACTCCGGCGGTAGTAGGCCTCGAATTCAGCTGCAGTATTGGGCACCTTCTCTTCCATTCCCGGGGCCACGATACGCTCCGTGGTCACGGTGACGGAGGTAAGAAAATCGGCGATATTGGCACCCCGGGGACAGACGAAGCCCATGTCTTCAAAGTAAGCTCTGGCCATCGCCCGCGGACCGTAGTAGGTCACCATACCATCTGCTAACACCAAAACCTTATCAAACTGGTCGTAGATGCCGTTGCCCGCCTGGTACATGGTAGCCACGATCGTCTTCTCGTTCTGGTCTGCCTCGCGTCGGAGCATGCGAGCAAACTCCACTGCCGTCTTTGAATCCAAGCCGCGAGTTGGATTATCCCAGAACTGAACAGGGCTCTGCAGATGAGTAATACTTAGCAATAGATCCACGAAGTTGCGATACATTCATGACCATACCTGACCAGCCATCATCTCCGCCAATGACACCCGTTTCCGTTCGCCACCGGAGACACCTCGAATGAACTCGTTGCCGACCAGGGTCTTCTTCGTGTGCGGAATGCCCAAGGAGCCCAGGATGTCATCTCGCTTCTCTTGCACGTACGCATTCCTGTCCTGCAGATGTTCAGGTCGTTCCCGAGGTACCTTATTCCGCAGAGCAAATTTCATCGTTCGATTGACCGTTAGCGTGGGGAAGTGCACATCGTCCTCGTTATTGAACATGATCTGTTGGCGATACTTCTTTGCCTGCTTGTGGTCCATACTTCCGTAACGGGTCTCGCCCACGACCTCATCGAAGGCACCGCGATCGTTCGACAACACTCGCAGAAAAGAAGTACAGCCGGAACCGGGACGGCCGAGAACGAAGAGCATCTCCCCCGGTCGAACTTGGCCAGTGATCTCCTTCAAAATCGTCCGCTTGGGCCGCCGGCTTTTCTGGAACCAGCTGGTGATTTGTCTCGGGTCGGCCACCGACAGTAGTGTTTCTCCCAGGGCCGCATCAGGCGCGGTAACGTTCACGCTGACATTGCGGAAGGTGAGCGTCAGGCGCTTGCGAATATCGGAGGCCCCAGGCTCCATATCGACCGTT